GGGGGGAGTGTCTCCCCAGGGGGGACCCGCTACCCCCTCCCAACAGACAGGGGGCCCGGTTCACCCCTTACCCGTTTTCCGCTTTCCCCCCTCCCTTTGCCCCATGTGCTCCTCCCCCTTGAGACCCACGGAACCCCCTCCCGCCTCGAGATTTTTTCACCTCTCCTCCATTTGCCCGAACTATCGATTTCGCCGGATTCCGGGCAGGTCTAGCAGGGGTTCGCCCCCAAGAAATTTCATCTTTGGCAGAGGGGGGGGGGGGGGGGGGGGGGTACTCATGTTTGAAATGTCTGATGGGGGGAACATTTAGGACGATTTTACGCAGCGGCTGTCTCTCCCGCAAGGAACACCTACATCGGTCCAACACGCAACTTTTATGTTACTTGCGGCAACCCCGGTCGTTAAGCTGGACCCCCCACCCGGCGGCCATATATACTTTTTCCCCGTCCGACGGATCAATGACCCGACCTCCGCCTTCGGCAGACATAGCTCACCTCGGCGATGACGCAGCCAAGGCTAAACACGTCCATGGACTCCAGGAGCCCCTCCCCGGGGGCCCCTCCCCCCCCCGCCGCGCCAGCGGGGCCCCTTCTGCTTCCGTCCTCCCGGCCGCTCGCACCCTTCTTCGACCTCTGCTGCTGCTGCTGCTGCTGCTGTGACTCCGATCCCCCACTGGCCCTCGGACTGCTCTTGCCTCCTCCTCCTCCTCCAGCACTAGCGGGTGTGGTGCTGTCGGTGTTGAGCCCATCGGGGCCGGGTTGGATCACGCTTGCTTCCTGGAGCGCGGCCAAAACAAAAAGGTTACGCCATCAATATATATATTGGCCCTTGACAAATAAAAAAAAGGTTAAGATTTGACAACGGGAGGTAGGTTTCAGAGGGGATAGAGAACCCGGTCACCACGGGGGGGGAAGCCGAGCGTGGCCAGACAACTTCGAAACCTCGAACACGACGGCCAACCAACAAATTTTGGGCGAGGACAGCGCACACCCGGCGGAAGAGTAACAAAAACAAATATTACGGTCAGAAAAATTACGAGCCACAGGGCATCGACCCCACGCGTACGGCTCGCCAACACTCACCAAGCCATCTAGACCCCCTCCTCCTCCTCCTCCTCCTTTGGCCTGTGCAGCCCCCGCGACGACACCCCCCGCTTTCTGCGCTGTTCCGGCCACGCCCGCTGCCCCCGCCGTTCCCCCGCTCGCTGCCCCGTCCCCCGTCGTCGACGCGTCAGAAGCCTGGGGAACGCTATAGAAGCGCTCGGGAGCAAGGTAGCAGCGGCCCTGCTCTCCTGAGCTGAAGTAGTAGTTCGCGTCCGCCGGGTGGTCGTCCTGAGTAGGGGGGGGACGGGGGACGCGTGGGGGGGGGGGGGGGGGTGCATATACTTGGTGTGTAAGCCTGGAGACCGCTGTGCTGCTGTGCCTGGTCAGGCATCGCGTTCGAGACAGAGTTACGCACGAATCCCACTTCACCGTCGCAGGCAGAGTCAACATCTCGGGGGGTACACCGCCCCCGCCTGTAAAAGTAACAACAACACTAAAACAAGGGAACGGGGTGTATGATACCAGGTAGTGGTAAATAATACCTTACCCCAATCGTGCGGTTCAAACATTTCAACGAAGAGCAACGACACCGGCCCTTTCACCACCACCATGCTGCCGCACACACTCTCAGCAACACTTGGTAGCACCGGGACTATACGGTACTCGAGCAACGATGGTGTTGCCGGCGCCGAGGCGAGACGGCAGACCCGTCCCGGCCTCCTCCTCCTCCTCCTCCTCCTGCTCCTCCTCCTCACCGGCAAAAATGTGGGCTTGAAAGGGGCGAAGTCCGTCAGCAGCACCCAGTTCCCGCTCGTCACCAGCACGTTCTCGCTCTTGATGTCGCCGTGACGTACCCCCTTCCCGTGGCACTGCGCCGCGGCCCTCAGCAGGAGGTACACGAGCCAGCGCTTCTCGGTGTCCGTGAGGAAAGGCCGGGTGGAAAGCCGATCGCTCAGAGTCCCCAGGAGGTGCTGCCGCAGCAGGTACGCCGGGGTGCCCGCGTTCTTGTGCGGGCTCGCGCGGACCTGCGTATGTTGAGAGCCGTTTTCGAAAACGATCTAAGCGTGAGGGGAAGTTACACGCCTTGTTGTTCGGCGTGTGCACATCGTCGTGTTCTCGAGAGATGTAAAACGGTTCGTGGATCAAGCTGGAAAAAAAAAAAACATCAGTCGGGGTCCCGCGGTGATGAGACAGACCCCCGGCATCGTGGAGGGAAGCGGAAATACTACTGCTATTCTCTCGAGGCCGAGCGTGCCCCATCGTACCTGCTTGGTGAGTTATCTTCATTTTGCAGAGGCACAGCCACGGAAGGCGTGCGCGACAGCTTGATCAAGTACAGATGCTACAAGGTACTGAGAATAGATCGGGGCGTTCTCCTTTTTTCATGAAAACAACAGCAACAACAACAACCTACGGTATTTTAGTCGTGAATAAGCTGCCGAGTTGGAGTGATGCGCTCTGTGTCCTTTTTGGAGTTTTTTCCCGTGCCCCGTTTGCCCTGCTCTTTGTCACCTGGAAATGGTAAAAATGTAGGCTTTCTGTGCAAGCAACATTTGTTCTCAAAAGTTGCCATTCCTCCATCATAATATGTTATTGCTGTGCCCGTTCTGGGCTACGTTGTGAACACGGAAAAATTCCTTTGGCGTTTGAACCAGTACAGAACGCGAGGTACGAGGTGGGGGTCAGAACTGCTCTTTAACGCGCCGACAACAAAAACAATACACTATACAACGCCTGTTGTAGGTCTTATTATAGTGACAGGGCGTACTCGTCGATGCAGGCTTCCTGTTCCCGCAGCGGCCACCTACCACCAGCGTTACCGTAAAACGCGGTGCTTGGGGTTCATGTTGAGCATGGCCCCAGCGCCGAATCGCACACTCACATCGGATTGGAGCCACCGCTGGTAAGGCAACACATTGGGGCAGCTGCGCGTGTTCAGCGCTTTGGCCATGTTCGACAGGCAGGCCTCAACAGGAGCCAGGTCCTCGCGCTTGTCCCGCTTTATGTAAGCCTTCACGACGACCATGATCCCGTCAACTCTGCACCTGTGCAGACGAGGGGGAGCGCGCCAAAAATAGCAGTCGTAGCGGTGCCAGGGCGAGACAATAACGCCAATAACGCCACGCCCAAAAGCATTAGATAATCGAAGATACGTGTACACGAACTGCTGGACGGTGGTACATGCCAGGGGCCGCAGCAACCTCTCGCCGTACCATTATGCCAGGCAGTCCTTCAAGACACCTCCCTGTTCGACGACTTGAACATACGGCGTGCCAACGTAAAGATGCACGGGAGCGCTACAACCGCTGTGAGTTCGAGAACTCATAATAGCAGCATTAGATTGCTGTAGCCCAAAGGTACCGCTGGGCCGACCCAGAGGGAGCTTTGAACCACACTGGCTCTTTCGCACAGCAACGCGTTATGTATTCGACATCGTATTGCTTCCCCACTTGACCTCTGTTCTCTTGCCTCTTTTCTTCAGCTACAGTATTCCGACACGACCATTGCTGTACTCTGTTTGAGGACAAGGCCAGAGGTGAGTGACACGTGCCACAACGCACGATGCTGTGTTACAATCCCCCAAGCGTTCCTACAGCAGTAGACCAGGCCGACAGCAGGTACAGCAGTAGTGTAGATGCGTCACAAAGGGGAGAAGGATACCCCTCCCGATACTGCGACACAGATAGGCGACCGAGCGAGACTCGGCAAGGACCCTCGTTCCGGTTTCGGGGCACCTCATAAAACGCGTGTGTGGCTCTACGGTTATGCAGTGGAACATAAACCACTGCTGTTGTTGTAGCTCGGATCACGATGGCGGGTCTACGCGCAGTTCGGCGGCATGCTTCAAGAGCTTTGCACTCACTGGTAGCTCTTGATGAACTTGCCGTTGGCCAGCCGCTTGACGTATATCACCTTGGGAAGATCGTGCTGCAGTATCACGCGCGCGTCGGCTGCGGGCGGTGGAGTCGCGCCATAGTACGCGTGGGATGAGGCATTGCCCATCTCTTACAATCGCTCTGCAGCACTTGCGGCGAGATAAACAACCTTGTGCGTGCCTCCGCGCCTGCGAAAAGGGGAAAAGGGAGGGACACACTTTGGATGTACAGCAGTACGACCTAATCCAACAGCAGTGGTGGGAATGGCATGCCACACCACGCCGAATCGACTTTGTGGATGACGTGTACACTGCAGCAGTCTTGAAGCTGCTACAACACGCCAACGTCAAGACTCACTGCTGCTGCGCTTTGTGCGCGGTGTCACTTGAACAACCACGAAGGGTTGCACCCCCCTGTTGTAGTGCATGCAAATCGCGGAGCCCCGACAAAACCGCCGCAGCTGGATCCACATAACCCCCAGATCCTGTATGCTATCGAATTAGCGAATACGCACACAGCCGTAGGGACGTGACGAGGTCTACCACGCATACAGGACATACAAGAGAGAGAGAGAGAGAGAGAGAGAGAGAGAGAGAGAGAGAGGACGAGCAGATACCAAAGGAAAGGCATCATTCGACATCGATTTTGCGACCTGTGCGGAGGAACATGCACGTCTACCCCGAGCGCCGGTTGCTTCAAGGAATGGAGAGCGAGATATGGAAGCTGGTCTCCTACAGCGCCACACCACAACAATGGAAGGAGTGGCTTCGGATGCCGCTGGAGCATGCAGCCGCCCGAGGTAACCTGAACCTCGTCAGCTCGCTGCTCGGGGCTGGTGCGGACGGAAGCGCGGGATGGAGAGGTTGCCGCGGCCGTACTCTTATCGATGCAGCTGCTCTCGGTGGAAGCGAGCCTGTTGTATCTACCTTGCTGCGAGCAGGAGCTCAGTGGGATGTGAACGTCGTGTCTGTGTCGAGCAAGAGGTCGGCTCTGTACACGGCGACGATGTGCGGCCACGAAGACGCAGCCAGGCGCTTGGTTGCAGCGGGAGCGGACGTGGATTTCGAGGACCCTGTGCACGGGAACCCTGTCCTCCACGAGGCAATCTTGGGTGGGCACATACAGTTGGTGAACGACCTTCTGTTGGTCGGACCAGATCTGGACTCGCGGGATGAGTATGGATGCACTCCCCTCCATCTTGCTGCTATCAGAGGACTTGATAGGGTCGTGTCTACCCTCTTGCTCCAAAGTGAAGTGTACACGGATGCTCTCGATGATGACGGCGTGACGCCACTCATGGAAGCATGCGGGTTTGGCCATCTGTCCGTCGTGAACACTCTTTTGACTGCCGGCGCCGATGTCACCATCCGCGATAACTGCGACCACTCTGCGCTCGACAGCGCCAGTAGATTTGGCCACATTGACGTCATTAGAGCCCTTGTTAGATATGGGGCGGACGTGAACGCTGGTGGCGATGATGTTTTTTCTCCACTTCACGTTGCTGCTCGAAGAAACCAGGCCGGTGCGATAAATGCACTGATGCAGGCAGGGGCCAACATCGAGTCCAGCGAGGGCGGTTCGTTGGCGCCCCCCCTGTTCTCTGCAACGGACCCGCGCAATCTCAAAGCCATGCACACTCTCCTGTGGCATGGTGCATCCTTGACAGCGCAAGACACCGAAGGAAACACGCCGTTGCACGTGGCGTGCTACCGGCAGCATAAAGGCCTGGAGGCGCCCGTGGATCTCTTGTTGCGATGGGGAGCGGACGAAACAGCCCTGAATAACGCTGGCAAGACTCCCGCAGGTTTGCTCGATGAGCACGACAATGAGAATGATAGAACAACATGTTCCGAAGCCGAGATCAACCGGGTGCGGATGTTGCTGGCTCGGGCTCCGGCCGACCGAGCGTGGCGTCGCCGTTGCTGGCTCGTGATGCTGCGCTCTTTCGCAAGGACAGCGAAAGCTACCACCGACGAAACCGGTGATGCACATGAAGGTTCCAACGATGCTGGTGACAAGGAATGGCGGGAAGAGCAAAGGGGCAAGGAAGGAGAGCTGGTGGTGGGGCACGCCTCGGATGAACGGCGCCGGCGAAGGTAGAGTCGAGGGTGGGGCGGCAGGCTGGGCGAGCATTGTGGCCTCTGTGGTAGGGCTGGATCCGGAGGAGGTGTTTCGCTCGATTGTGGGCTTCCTGTGAAGAGAGACGGTGATCTTAGGAGGTCTCTGGCAAGATTCACAGGTACGAGCCACTTGTTGGGTATGGTTGGGGCGGTCGTACATGTACCGAAGGCTCTGGGCACCGATACACTGGCTGTGGCCTGTCGACATTGCGTACGTATCCTTGACTAGAACGTGTGGCCCGTGATTCGTTCCGATACCCAATACCCGTGTTTTGATCAGCAACAACATGACACCAACATAGGCCTTTATTGAAGTAATTTCCTCCCGGCTGAGGGCTCACGAGATTGCAGGAAAGGCAATCCTGATGCTCTCGTGAACCTAGAGCCCTTTTTTCGCGGTTTCTCCACCCGTAGACCTCGCCTCGAAGCGAGACTCGCACCTACCGATAGCCTGGTGTTGTGAGGGCCCTCCCGCCGTGCTGCGCGCTCTCGAGGCGGACTGCGTACAGCGCTAGCGAGGGCAAAAGTCGCGTCTCCTAAGTCTACGATGCCTCGCCCATTGACCGGCCCGGTTTAGTGACACAGTCCAGGCCGCATTCATACATTGCTGAGAGGCTGACGTGCTAACGTGGTCCATTTTCGGACTCCTTTTTTGTGCGCGGCTACATGTACACACCCTCCACACGCGACAACCAAGCAACCAAGTCTCCGCATGCCACGAGACAAAGCACCCAACTGCTGTTGTGCGTCTCCCTTTCGATCCCGACGAAAAGCTGAGGGGTTTGCGGCCGCGGTGTCGTGCACCCAGCACACGCAGCAGTCGGCAATATTCACCCGCCGCCCGAAAAAAGCAACTTCAACCTGCCGTCTCGTAGATTGTGGCGTCAGATGACACCCGTCGGAGATCTACGGTCGGGGTATTGCCACCGATGGGCGCGCTGAACCCGCGTTCTCACAACCCGTTCCGTACATCTCTTCTATCTCTTTCGCGAGTGGTTGAACCTGGTGTGTCTCCACACCACACATGACATACATCCCGAAAGGAAATCGAGCCGCATGGTGAACCTGAAGACCTACCTTTCATATCGTCGGCAGGATGTCTCTGCTTGATTCATCCCATTTGTTTTGTTTTTGCCGACAAACGGTTTGGCTACACATGAGACGGGGAGCTAAAAATAAATGGCCGGGCTCCGCACACTCCACCAACACACAAAATTCTAGGTCAGCTACAGCATCCCCCAAAAAGTAGCTGGCAGTAGACATTGCTGGCTTACTAGCATGCGCGGGCTATCTTCCGATAGACATTATTGGCTGCCATAGACATGACAGGCTTTCTTTCGACATATCTTTTCGACAACAGTAACAATAGAGTAGACTTCGCAGGTCTTTGCCCGATGGACATCGTTGTCTGCAATATGCTCACCAGTTACTCTTTCGATACATGTTGTTCGCAACATTAGATTTGTCAGGCCGCCACCCGATAGATATTGTTCGTTACAGTACTTATAAGCCACATTTTCCGAGATACGAATTGCTGTGGACAACAACAGAACAGTAGATTGATTTGGCACGCCGTTTTCCAATAGATATCGTTGGCAACAACAAGTTCCGACGGTCGTCTCCCAATAGAAATTGATTGTTGCAGATTTCGAAGGCTTTATTCCGGTAGACATTGCTGGCAGTAATAATTGAAGAAACCTTCGAAACATGCTCTCGTGCAAGTGGATATCCCTTACAGCCTTGAGGATAATTTGCCGTTCACAATGACTATCGATGTTGCGTTCGGAAATCTGTCGATATGGACAATATCTATCCATAGAGCGCTCAAGAATCTATTGCATGCAGTAAAAGATGTATATCGATACCATTCTCATAAATCCATTGCCTTCGACAATGGGCATCGATCGATAGAACCGATTGAAGTCTGTAATGTACAATCGATATTTAATAGAAACTTTCGCAAATCTGTTGCGTTTGACACTGGATATCGACAGAACCTTTTGAAAATCTATTGTCCTTTACGAGCGATGTCGAAAGGAGCGTTCAAGATCTATTGTTTTTTACAATGGATATCGATAGAGACCTTTCAAAATTTATGTCCCTGACAAAGGGATGTCAATATTTTTCTCTCTTGGTCCATCGTAGCAACAACAGACCATTGTTCTCTGTTGTCCAAGGTGTAAAAGTTCGTGTTGGGACGGCATATACACGCCCAATCCGGTGCATGGTCACTGTACAACTAACAATCGACAGACGTTGCTGCGGGTGTTGTTTCTTGCCACATGTATGTGCTGTACGTTTTCCTCTCTGTCCTCCGGCCGTCGCTTTACAAATAATAATGCATTCTCGGCTCTTGAAACAAATAAATAATGGGCACCACACAGCTTTCACATGCATACACTCTTCTCTCTCTTCGCTCTCATCTCAAAACTCGAACCGCAAACACTTGCCATCGCCATGCAACCTAAGAGCGCAGCGGCGACCGCCGGTATAGCGGTCGTCCGCAAAGCACTTGTGTTTTGCTGTGTTTTTGCACGATACGAATTTGGTGCAGCCTTACTGCCTTCTTCTCTCGTGTATACTATTTCCCACGGACAAACCGGGAAATTTGCGACCCTCCAATATGGCCATGGGCACGCACATCGTAGCTAGCGCGGCGAACTTTACACCCTCAAAGTGGCTTCGAGCTACCCTGTACCATCACCAATTGGTATCGCAGCTTGCCTCGGGCAACCATGCTGGTCCTCCAAGAGATTTTCGTTTTTATACATAGGTGGTGTAGAGAGCAGTGAAGAGATGAAGATTCGCTAGAAAAGTAGTGTGATAAATCTTGTTGCATCCTTAGGACGACGGTCAGGGCAAGAAAAAAACGTTAAGTATATGTATAGCTTGGATGGACAACGCCTAATACTCAGCCTGATGTAGAGAGAACAGACGAGGAAACGGTTTTCTGTGCTGCGTGCAAAGCAACGCGAATTGGGTGTTACGGAATTGGAGAACAACAGATGTGACAACCCGCATGCCTTGGACTGAGGGAACGCGTGTTTTCCATGTCTGTCTTCGCAAGACTGTCCACACACCACACACACACGTAGTTTGGGCTTGCTTGCCGTGAGGTGGATACCATGGTGGTGCACGGTGGAATGAAAGATCGTCCCGGATCGCGGATGAACGCGGGTGAACATTTACCCGTCGTCGTCGGATCATGCCGAACTTCGTTCATGCTGTCAACATAGACTACAGACTACTGCTTGGGATCGTTTGCTTGGGACCGTTACAAGCACAGCCATGTCTTCAATGCACACCCGCTGGCCAATGGCCATGAACACGTACCCTGCGGCGAGGTGGATATAGGATATGGTAATAATGTCACGGTTCCGGTCTTGGTGTCTTGGCACGTTGTATCCAGAATGCAAGACTGTTCAGGAAAAGAGATATACAAGCACGCTTGCACAAATCGCTCCTTCCATCCCTCTATGCGCGCGCTTACGTACAAGAACAAATATTGTTTCCCCCGAAACGCGGCGAATAGTCTATCGCGGGGCACACGTACGTATCGTTCCGACGAGAACGAAATCCGTCGTTTTGCGGCGAAAAAGCTTCCGCGACCCTGTCGTTGGCAGGGTAATCGCGGGGAGGGAGGCAACTTACACACGCGCGAACTGGTCGAGATCGTAGTGATCGTACAATGGATGCATGGATGTATGTGTTCCGACGAAGAAAAGATAAAGTCATTTATCATCAAGTTGTCAAGTTGTTGGTGTGCGTGCAAAATGCGGCGGAAGATACTACTTGCGCGTGCGCAATGCGGTGGAACAAGAGGTTAACATCGGAGAAACAGCTGTGACAACCCGCATGCCTTCGACGGATGGATCGCGTGTGTACCATGTCTTCGCACTTATCCAAAGTGCAAGAAAGATTGTTCGGGAAGGAGAGAGATACCCAAGCACGCCTGCACAAATCGCTGCGTCGATCTCTCTATGTGCGCGCATGTAGTCTTCTTACAATTAATTTAAGTTTTCTCTGAGAACGCTTCATTTCGCTTCTTTCGGCTTCTGTGAGCGCTCTATTCCGGTCTTCTCGGGCTCTCACAGAGCAGCAGCATTCCCTCTGGAAATTTGGCACTTTGGTGGACTTTCCACTTTTATCTTCCGCTTTTATCTCTCTCGCCTGCTGCTGTCACCCCGCTCTGTACCATCATACCACGCATTCCACTCGGATTACGGCCCTCTCTGTGTGTGCCTCCTTCTCCTCCGTTCCTCCGTCTCTCTATGTCTCTGACGGGCTGTCTATCCACATTCCCTTTTCATTTTCGCCTTCTCTGTTGACCGCTCTCGCGTCGGAATGGTCTGTTGTTTGTTCCGATTCCGTGTGCTACTGCTGTACATTTGTTTTTTTTCTTCTGACACCTTCACACGGTATGCACTCACCTCCTATCACCTTGGTACCGTATTCTCTCTCTCTCTCCTCTCGGTGTGTGTGTGTGTCTGTGTATCCACTTTGTCTTTAAATTTTTGCTCTTCTCTCTTCACCGCTCTCGCGTCGGAATGGTCTGTTGTTTGTTCCGATTCCGGCAACGGTGTTGTGTGCTCCGGTTCCGATAGTCCCTTCTAAAGGTCCGGAAAATACGAAAATACACTCCTTTCTACCTCCACTCTCGATGGCTACCCCGGCCCACTCCTCCCGCACCTCTGTAGCTACTCCTGCTACAGTTTTGCAGTTCAAGTAGTGCGTTCAATTGGTAGTGCTGTCTTTCTTCATTATTCGCAGTTCAGCCGATAATTTTGTCTATTTTGCAGTTCTGAGTTCTGGATGTGTATCAGATAATTGAGGGGTATTTGGCACGGCGATGAGAAACAAATAATGGACCTTTACATCTACTTAAATCGCACACGAACCTCCATCATGGGAACTCCACCTTCACGGAAACTTTAACTGCAATCGGTGCCTACCTTCATTCAACATCCTACACCCACTTTCAGAGAAAACATTGCTGCCTTGGAATCGCTTCAAATAAAGCGGGAGCGCGCAGCGCCCAAAACCTTGTACAAGAACAAATCATGTTTCTTTCCTCGAAACGCGGCGACCAGTCTGTCGCGGGGCACACGACGTGTCGAGATCAGGATAAACTACATTAGATTGGTGATGTAGACTATTTGTTCCGCAATATTTTGCGCGCGCGCGTAAAATAGTTTGAAACCGTCGTTTTGCAAAGGACATACTTTCTCGTCGGGAGGTTGCAGCGGTGTGGCCCGGAGCTGGCAGGCAAAATTGGTAGGCACACAGCTCTTCCAGCGTCGAAGGACTTGTCAATCCAGCTGCTGCATGCTCGTGTTTCGTGCTTGAGAGTGCCGGTCGTCGACACAGCCAACACTCAACAACTCAATAGGCACCAATCAAGCTGAAACTTACGAAGGCTTCTAAAGTAGTGCAGGACGGCCGATCGATGGGGTGATTTCTCGCGTCTCGGGCGTTCGGCTAAAAGAAGTGCGTGGTTCAGGCTTTCGGACTGAAAGTGATCATTCATTCACATTTTTGTTTTCCGTTCTGTGAGACCTCTAGAGACCGTATCGGTCTCTTAGAGGAAAACAGCATTGTAGAGTTTCCTCTTGCAGAAAGATATTGGTATGCGAGAGTCGTGTGCGGCAAGGCTAGGAAGAATGCTACACCCCCCAACAAATGAAGCCCTGGTTGGCCTAATACAACAGTAGTCCTGGTAGGGATAGAGATGTGAATATAAAGCACGGCCTTGTTTATCTCCGACTATCGATTGGAAGCCGCTATCGGGCATGGCGCTGAAGCATATGTACAACCGGCGGTGTGTTTTGTCGCTATTGTTTTGTTTTTCCAGGGGGAAGCCGGCCGCTGAAGCGTGATCTATACATAGCTATCCGCGGGTCCTGACGTCCCGGTAGAGCACGCACTGGTGCTCCTACCTTCGAGACCGGCGCGCGAAACAAAACGTTTTCGCTTGGTCGTGGTGGCCTGCCCACAAGGCCTTGCTGTTAATCCGAGAGTGATGTGTTTGCTGTCGCATTGTGGAATAGGCAGGCGACGGTATCTGTGGACGGGGAAGCACGTACGAGAAGGCTAGGAGCGTCTTATCTTCAACTCGGCCAAGCCAGTGTTGATTTTCTAGCGCCGGGGGGTGGTTCTGGAGTAGGGTCAATGGTGCTTAGATGCTAAGCTTACTTAACCATCTCACGGTATGTAGCAGGACCTTTTGATGACGGCAAGACAATCCCAGACGAGGTGTAAGACAACCTGGGATTGTGTGTTTGGAAAACAAGAGATACTTCCTCGGTCACTTCTTGCTTGTGCCCTGTGGTCGCGTTCGTTCCGGCACATGTTCATGTCTTCATGAGTAAAGCGAGAGGCGACAGCAGCAGTGGTTTTCTGGTTTCGTCGAGGCCACGTTCTCTTTAGCATATGCGTTTTTTTAGGTACATCTGCGTGGCCCCAACTGCTGTCTGACATCCCGCGGCAGGTCCATGACTCAACAGTACCACACGCGCGACGATTCCCAAAGCGGGCAACGATCCGAGGATTGAACTGTTGACGGTCGGCGAAGCTCTTGTCGCCCCATCGCAGACTAGGCCAGAGCTGCGAAGCCCAGCCGCACAGTGAAAGAATCCAACGAGCGCATCCACCGCCACGATTCAGGCCAACACATGACAAAATTTTGACACAAGGGCGGTACGGCGGGGGGGTAGGCAGGCGGCGGTGGGGGTAACGCATGCGCTGGTGGGTGTTCGTTGCCGCCTCGATCCCTGGTGGAAACGAGTCCCAAGCAATGAACCACTACGAAGTTTCGTCCGCAGGAGTCATAGCTAACGACGAAGGTTTAACGCCCCATACCCAGCGTCGAGGTTCACGTGCTTCGACCGAGCATGCCGCTTTAGCTTGAACAACTCATCCGTTGGCACACTCCACCCCCACCCCCCTCTCAGATGAACAATGGAATTACACACCTCTTCTCACGCCAGCGGAGAATAGAGTATGCTCCCGCCCCAGAGTTGCGTTTGCAGTCTTCGGTCTCGGCATCTTGATGCCCTCTCTCCCGCCGCCCAATACTCGCTCGTTGCCACTCTCTACCCTCATCCTCGAACTACTGATAAACAAGCCGGGATCTTGTTCGACCCCTCGCCTACTGCCCCCGCGATCTCTGAGTCTGTTTCTACTTCCGCTACCATCCCCGCCGCTGGTGCTGTGTTCTCGAGAGGGATCAGCCTCACACTCAGACACACTGTTCAAATTGACGTTGATGCTGCCCATTGCAATTGTGCTGCCAACATCTCCCGGAAAGGCTCCCAGGCTTTCGACGCTAGGCATTGGCGTGAGCTCCTTAGGGATTTTAAAGCCTCCTCGGTACACAAACTTGCTGGTGTTTTTCTGATGATTCCCTCCCCCAAAACCTCCCACCATTGCGGGGTCTACGAATGGTTCAGGGGTACGTGTTCCATCCTTGTGTTCATGGCGTAGAGTACACGAACAGAGAGCAAACATCGACGGGTGCAAAAACTGTTGCAATTTGCGAAGTTTGTATTGTTTTACAAAGAATATCTGACGACGGCTTGTCCTCCGGGAATTTGGCCGAGTTACACCGTGTTAGCTATGTAGTATTTGGAATTGATATTTGTACCACCCCCAGAATATTGCTGCGTTGAGAGAACGATACCGTATCTCGCTATAGAAGACCACGCCCGTCAATCACTCAACAACATTCGGTCGAAGACTTAACCGTTCTTCAGAATGCAGGAGGAGCTAAACCCACGTAGAACAACACGTGTACTTGACGCAACAACAATGCATTTACCGGTGGTGTGGCCGGTATCCGCGGTCGACCCGCCATGGCATCCTTTACGGCCTGCGGCGGTGGTAAAGGTTCCAACGGGGCTGCTCGTGCGTCGCCAAGAGTAGCCTTGATGAGGGACCAAGCGCATGGAGAAAGCGGAAGAGGATTGGGGAAAACATCTCTCTCGGCTCGTTCTACACTGTTCCCGCGCCGGGTAACGGAAAATACAACAATTCGTGTCCTGATGTGGAAAACGAGATGCAGGCGAGCCAAATATTCCATTCCTTGCCTGAGCTGCTGCGCCGAATGGGCGGTCGCACGCGATGCAGGAGGGGTCAAGCTTGACCTTGCCGAAAAGGGTGTTACCGACATCCACGCTTCGGTACTTGGACATTGCCACCTATCCGTTCGACAATAGGGAAAGAGATCGAAGCTGTATGGAGAAATCGTGAACCAACAGCTGCTAAATAGGCTTCCTCAGGAGAGGTCAACTGGTCGTCAAAGGAAAATCACCCCCCCCTCCTCCATCGCTGGGCAAAGTTTAAAGGTATAGGTATAGGTTGCCCGAAGGACTACTCGATTGCAGTTGCTTTGTTTTTCAGAGGGGGGTGCGTGTACTCCTCATGTTTAGTGGTAACACCATTGACCTCGAGAGGGGGAGGGGGGGGGGGGGGGTACTCATAGTCGTGCATGCCGTAGTCGTTTGACCATTGACCTCGCATCCCTACAAAGCCGGGACGGAGCACGCCGGGTTCTCACCGGACCAGGCTCTCACATCACCAAGCGCGAAGCGCCGTGAGGCATTTGGCGAGTCGCATGAAGGGTGAGCTGCATCCTGCTAAGGGTGTTCGGCATCTTGTGCTTACTTCCTTGCGTACGGGTGACAGCTACGTATGACTTAATTTATTTTCTGGTGCTTTCACTTCCAGAGACAGTTGTAAGCACTGTGTAACTGCCTCGAGGAAGCTTGACCATTTTAACACAACGTGGTGCGATCATCCCCCGTTGCGCGGAGTGAGGTTTCTCGACCCCGCACAACATGATCTACTCGACCACCATTATGGTTACCGCAAAAAAAAAAAACCGAGGTAAAAAAAAAAAAAAAACGGTAACCTGGTTGCCGAGTTCACGAAGTGAATTGGCTTGTTTTACAACGTCGTTGCCAAGCGACGAAAACCCAATCCCGATGGCAAACACCGAGTGGGGGGCTTGTTTTACAACGTCGTTGCCAAGCGACGAAAACCCAAACCCCGATGGCAAACACCGGGGGGGGCGGCTTGTTTTACAACGTCGTTGCCAAGCGACGAAAACCCAAACCCCGATGGCAAACACCGAGGAGGGGGGGGGGGGGTCCCTTTTCTTTTACCACAAACTCGACGAATTTTATACTTCGTGAAGAAGAGTAAACGGAACAGAAGAGTTTACCTTGAGCCCTTGCTCCAATTTGACAAAAAAACGGTCCCGGTTTCGGGCGCCGAACGGTCCGTGCGACGGGTACTTCCTGTCCAAGTACCGTCTTGCATTGGCCACGAAATGCTCCAAGAAACTACCTCGCATACTCTGCACGCGTCTGTCCCAGTCCTGGGCCCCCTTTTCGATGTTTGTGGATGCGGTGAGCTTCTGGATAACCTGCCGTTCATTCCAATCGCAATGCCATGGGGATCCGGGAAGGGGGAGGGGAGGAGGGGGTCCTGATTGCGTGCTCATGTCAGTGATATGTCATGGCCGTATCCCCGGTGCGTTGTTTCAATGACAAACAGCTGTTCCGTTTTTTCAGAGTCCTACTTAGCGGGTAAAGGACAACTGGAAATCTGCATTAACAGTGCACATCAATGCCCGATCTTGATTTCCTCCGAACGACCAACAAGTAGGTAAATACCCCAACGGCGAGCGAGTGACAGTACCTCGAAGTCTGCCTTTTGGCAGATAAGCTTGGCCACGCGCTGAGTGTTGCCGGCGATATATTGCTGAAGCTCGACCGTGAGCACAAAGCGGTCCTGCAAAACGCAACGACCGATGACGCTGCGGCATCTCTGGGTGTGCGTCGCTGAGACAACGGAGATGTTAGATATGGAAAACACCTTCACCGCAGACCTTCGGATTCTACCTTCGAATTCGCTGAGCTTGGGGGCCGTGCAAATCGACTCGTTGAGTGTTCAAAGATTGATTGCCAAATTCGTTTGGGTAGCCTCGCAACTGGATTAGCCTTTGGGTTAGCGGGGCAACACCGTATGGGAAGATCTCAAGTCGAGTCTATGCGCGTTGGGTTGGCATCTTGGTCTCCTGTTTGGCCACCGTGTATACAGTAGTGAACAGAGCAACCTTTTGAGACTCGCAGCTTTGGAACTTTCGAGTGTTGCACGTCAATGAAGGGAACCACAGTAGCCTCAAGGTACCGTCATCATCTTCTATTGGACGTCTTCAACTATCAATGGCGAAATACCCTAACGTGGAAGCCCACACGCGTAGTGGGATGGTCCAATCGCACCTTTGAGAGTTGCTTTGGTCTGTTGCAGACAAGTGCGCAACTTGCGGTGGCAGCAGTAGAAAAAGTACCAGGTGGTGGTCGTCGTTGTTGTTGTTGTTGTTGTTGGTCGTGGCGTTGGGGTTTATCAGATAATACGTTAGGGCTTAAACATAAACCACATAATACTCAACACTCACTCGCGTCGCACGGACAACCAACCTGTTCTTCGCTGGTGGCCTCGACCCTGCAAGACGCATCTGCGAACGCCTCAGCGTGCGCTTTCAACTTCGTGCCCACTTCCTCCCAGAACAAGTCTCTCGAGGACAGCACCTTCCAAATAATGGGTATGCACATGACAGAGACACACTTCATTTCAATATTTGGCTAGTCTAGAGAACCGCGGGCGAATTGTACTCGTTCTCGCCGTCATCTGAACTCGAAACGGAGTGTCGACGATCCTGGCATCACATCAAAGCCGAATCGGAGGACGCCGGCTCTTCAACGATCATGACCGGGGGGAGGGCGTCATGGTTTGGGTGATGTGATACCTGCGACAACTATCAGCAACAGCTATCTGCACACAGATGGTAGCACCAAACGGCACCCTCGTCGGAACAGCACCCCCCAGGTGTGACATTGGCTTCGAAAATAGTCACGCGTTGGGAATGCTTTCCCGACGAACTCAAACACGCCTGTGATGTCTACTCTGCATGCTCAAGAGCTGCGTTTGATATACCTCTAATCACCACGGCGACCGCCTTTTGACACAACGCTCAAGATGAGGCCATGCTCCACTCTACAAACAAGGCGCGGTCTGTGACCCAGCAATTGGGGCAACCCAGGCCAGAATCGGCGTCGAAAATATCGATGCTGAGCGCAAGACAGAGCGAGAGAGAGCGATTCGCATCCGGGGTTTCAGAACTCACGAAAAGGCTGCGTTCTAGCTTTTTGACGAGCAAGGTGAGGCTGAGGTTGGCCCTTTCCACCCGCCTCGACGATTCCTCTCTACGCTGTTGCTGCTCCCGAACAGCCGTTGCCACCTACAGGCGAAAACGAGCATCAACCAAACGGGCCATAACAAACGATGTTTTGAGTTGTCGGGAAAACGATAGTTTCATGGTTGTCTTGGGTGCTGAGCGCTTTGCGTGCAACCTGGTACGAACAGGTCATGGAGACGAACGCGGGTTCGCCATGCCGTAGGAAGCAAACTACTGTAGGAATGTCGAACCTGGCCCCTCAATCGACGGAAACAACTCTAGAGCAACGGCGAACGTGTTTCAGGTGCGACACTCGATGCGGCGATACCGCTAGGTGCATCTGTCGAACGTTCAATAAAGGCGGAGCACAATCGGTTACACTGGACGGAGCACAACCGGCTATGCTAAACAGCGCCGTCAACTGCCGGCGGCCGGAATTTCCTACAATCAAGACAAACAAACCCAAACACTTCCTCCCCGAAACCGTTTCGGACGGACGGAAAGTACTTAGACAAAGGAAGGGGAAACTGAGTCAAACTGCAAGATGAGACACGCATTCGAAGCGAAACAGAAAGTATGCATGTGGATAGAAGTATATATAATGTCCCGCCGGAGCAATAGTGTCGAGCATCTCAATCATGTACCTACTTGGGCCCCTCGGCCAAAATAGCTCCACATGCGCTGCTTGTTTCATTTTTTGCTGGAGCTATCGACAAATACCGCTCGCTCTCTCATGACACCGAACTTTTTCCAAAGGTGGCACTATTTTCTGGGTATCCTCCAAGAGGAGCTCTCTCCTCTTTATCATTGCATCCGGTACCACTTGCGCTGGCAACAAGCCTGCATGTTCAGTACAATGCCCTTGAAAGTGGGATGCCAGCGAGAACCTTTCCACGGCACTCGCCTCTGCCAAGGTGGCTTCTTCGTCTGGGTTATCCTTTCGTTCGAGCCCCCTCCTCGCGCCGCTAGACACCAGACAAACCAGCATGTCCCTAACGTCCGACCTGACCGACGAACAAGCATCGCTCACTTCCTTTGAAACAGCTGTCACCTATCGAGCAAGAGGGCAGACACGGTTCCCAGCGCGGCCCCAGATGTAGTCTTCAAGGTCTGTGGAGTCGCTCTTTAGGGAAGCGGGGGGTATTTGAGGCACCGACAGCAATGTCTGACAGAATGAGTAGCAAAACGAGAAACACGTCCCTGAAGGCATTTTCAAATGCGCCGTGTGTAAATAGTCCCCACAGAATGGATATAGTCTCGGTCGGGCTAGCTTTTGGGTAGGAGATTTGCAAATGACACCACCTGTGGACAAAATGTTTTTTACCGTGTCGGTAGGAAACCTGTTGGGCGATTCCTCACCATCGCGCTGGATTTTCCGAAAATATTCATTTCACAAGATCGAGCCTCGATGAACATTTAACCAGTGGTCGTGACTGAAGACAAGTGTTCGTAAGTTGCCACACGTGTTGTGGGTCATACAATGAACTTGTATGCATGGAAAGAGAAGGTCTTGGAGATGTTCTTTTTTCATGGGGGAAAGGGCAGCGAGCTGTCAATATGTCGATACTGCTACCCCGAGGGGCCGACTGCTCTGACGCCCACCCTCACCTCATCGATCGGAGACGGAATCAAATCGTGAAAAACATGCAAAGTGTGGCAAAACGCAGTGGCCATGCGTTCTGTTCTAGTACACAAACAACGTGGTCGGGCGCCGCCGGAAACACGCACGCGGGTGTGTAGTCAGACCTTCGCGTCCTGGGTGTCGAGAATACGCTGATGGTCCTCCAGTGCTCTCTTGAGGATACCATGCACGCTGAAAATTCGGCACCGCGTCGTTAGGGAAGGAAGGTACGAGATGACTCATGCGTCAAGCGAGGGCAGTAGTAGGAACAGACGCTCACGCACAGGAGCTTGCGCCCCTCTCTACGCAACTACATTGCTAAATTTGAGCGTTTTTCGTAGTCTGTGTGACAAACTAAAACATTGCGTGTATCGTTTTGGAGGGGCTGACTGCCGTAAGAGCGCCTGAATGCTAACGGTACAAACTGACCTTTATAGTAAGACGCAGCGGCACACCACACTGCTGTCGCCATCTTTGACTAACTCAGAACAACTTTGCGCTTTGCTAGAAACACCAAAGTTGTCTCATGTACCACCCCAACGCACAAAGACGCACAAACCCAAACGCACATAACATCATCAGTGCAGGCCGTACTAATACCCATTGCATCTGGGAGGACCGCTACTTGGGTAGTTACCCAGGGTGCTGAAGCGCACCTTTTCACAGCAGTTCAGAGATTCAATATTTGAACTTGACTTTCAGAGATTCAATATTTGAACTTGATCCTCGCCTCCCATCCCGTGCACACCACGCAAGACAATGTCACACGACGGATTTTGCGCTAAAACGTTAGCCCGTTACCCCCCTCTTCTTTTTTTTTTTTGAAAAGGCTCACCTTTCAACGCCCTCTTCGAGCGTGGCTATCTCTGGCGACAGGTCTGTCCTCACGGCCTCCGCCAAGTTCTCCACCTCTAGCACCCTGTACGAGATTGTCTCCACCTCCGACGTTAGCAGGTCGATCACTTCCTATATAATATCCAAATAATACGGCACGCAGCAAGCGAAGAAGCGGAGAGAAGAGAAAGGAAGTTTTCGCGCCGATCTCTCCAACTACATGCCTTGGACGAGCACGCCACTGGACGCGAAGCGGTCTGTAGGCGGGAACCGATTTGCGCTCTACAAGGCGAAGAGACTCTTGGTGACTCTGTCGACGATGACCAGCAGGTATCTGTTGCCTTTGATAGAAGTGACCTTCATGTCGAGAATGCCCATCTCCAGTACTTCCCATGGCGGCAAGAAGCACACCGGCAGCTTGTGGAGTTGTTTACTCCACGGCCGCTTCCGCATACGACAACTGCATGATAGCACATATTCTCTTGCGTCCTTCTTCAGCATCGGCCAGTGGTACCTGTCCGCAATGAAGTAGTTTTTGCCGCGATCCAAGACTGGTGTACAATACTTCATCCAGACACATTACGGTCGTCATCGATGGGAAGAATGGGCCCAGAAGGGGCGGGGGGGGGCGAGGCCACCTCATTCCTTTCTTGGTACATGGGGAAAGAGGGGATCGTGCGTACTTACCTGTTTTCCGGCGGTGGTTACGTTTTCGAGCGTCGTCAACCTCAGGGCGAGTTCATCCCGCATCTCCTGCAAGGAATCTTTGTCGGCCGTGTTGTCCTTCAGCTTGATCATTTTGTTCTCCAGCTAGACAAAACGTGCGTGTTCGGGCGTTTTGAGATCCGGTCAAGGTTTCGAGACTACCAGCCGCCGAGTTTCCGTGTTTTGTGCGTAGCCAGAACCCAGACAGTAAAGAATTGGTTGGTCTCTGTCAGGGTGGGATTTTACAACATGTAGGAGACGCTGCACAAGGAAGCGCTAGCGCACGGCGCTGCGCTGTGATAGATGCTAGCCTCGAACCATCTCTGATGTACAACTCCCCGACCTTGTCATCGAAAAGACGGACGACGTTCAAAAGCTGCTGTGAATTTCACATGGGCCCAGCCGTGAGGCACACACATGGAAATGCCCAATGACATCAATAGCCGTCAAGATGAAAACACTCCTCCGTCGGTGAAGCTTGGGCATTCGGCAGCCCGTGGCAGGAGTCTTGCTATCAACAGTCAATATTTGGTCCACCACGATCGCTCACCCGGCACACGTTGTACCTGTTCGTGAACGGCCGTCTGTGCGTTGGCAACGGTCTGGATCCGCGCCGACATTCGCCGCTCCGCCTCGCTGATACCCTGCGAGCTCGTCTCGTTCGCCTGTACCAGCTTCTTTTCGGTGTTTTTGAGGCTTGCCAACAAGCTCGACACCGACTCCTCCAACGAGAAGGCCTGGATGATAAGGCGAGGAGAAAGGTCAAAATCACTGCCCTCGACCAGAACGATATACATGTCGTTGATCGATGTTTTCGAGCGGTAGGGGTGGTTGAATCGACGATTTGCTGTCAGGCGGGCTTAGAAAAGATAATTGAGTGCATTTTACAGGCCCAAAGCACCAGCTTGCTTGTTGTGAAGGAATAAACCACCAGGAGACTGATGGTCAAGACGTCAGGACACGCGAAAAAATTCACTTTACCTTCGTCGCAACATCACGGATAGTGTCGCTTCCCCGGAGTGCCTCGTTGAGAATTTCAGGTGTCACTGCCTTTTCGACCTGCATCGACAACTTTTCGGTTTCCATCTGGCGGTACCAGAAGGAGAAAACCATCAAGCGAATACAGAAACGCAAACAAGGCAGTGCGGACAGGCGGAAATAGGGGGGTATGTATTCACAGGCGAAAAACAAAACTTCTATGATTTTGTCGTGCGACGGGGCGATTTCACATCCTAGCCTGGTGCTTGCCCCTTTCTCAAACGCATGCTCTCAATGCCTCAATAGGTGCAGATCACCCGACCGATTGTTTCTACAATACTCACCCAGGACACATCCTTGCTTGACAAAAGGCGAATGGCCAGCCGTGTTATAGAAATTTCTATCATCCGACGGAGGCCCGAGAGTTAGTCAGTTGGCTCGAGAAGAGTAAGATCTCGAAGAAAGGCCAACAGCGTGATGTGGTACCTATTTCGAATCTGCTTAGAAGTGTGATGAATACATGCCTTCGCTCGATGATTTCTGTTGCGCTGGAAAAAAAAGTGATATCGACATCCTAAACAGTGGCAGCAGACGATACTATCCGCCCACAAACTTAGGGCATTCATAAACTTCAGGCATGCCTACGTTTGGAGCACCTTGACCTGAAGCTTTCTTCGTGGGTAAAACAAAAAAAAAATGATGGCGGACGTACCTGATGCGACGCCAGTTCCTCGAGAAGTTCGTCCTTCATGCGAGAAAGACTGATCTCCACCTCCTGCCCGCCCTCGCACACCCTATCGTCTACCTGCGTCAGGTTGGCAATCGCCACAGTCAATGTCACAGGCACAGCCGTGAACGAGCCAAGTGATGGACGCCAGAACAATACACCATGCAATCTTGTCTGTTGCGCATCTACCGAGTAACCTCCTCTCTTGGCAAGCTGTTGTGTCTTGAGAGGGGCGAATCTCGACAGATATTTTGATATGCAGGAAAGGGGGGTAGAATTGCTTGGGGATGTGTGTTTGGGGGCAACATGGCAAAGAGGACACGATTCACACAACGGGTGACACGAAACGAAAATAACGGCTCGAGAAAGTAGATTATGTGATCGAGACGAAAATGCTTGACAACGTCGCCGAGGTAAGAGTACTTGGACGTATCATGCGCATATCCAGGGCAGACACATGCCGATCTAAATGGTTCACACTTGTGATATTCAAACAACGCTTGGAGCAGGTGTACATTTGTCGACTCAGGGTACGCGCATGGACATACCTCGCGAACGAACCGGTCCTTTTGCAGCTCTCCTTCCTCCATTCGAAGCAACAGTTGTGCGAGTTCAGCGCGTATGCTGGCTATGGCAGCTGAGATCTCCATTTCTCCGTTCTTCGATATCGACTTCGCTCGGGAAAAGCGTAAGCAGCGAATCGAGGGACGTGGCACGTGCCCAGTGATTGGATTGAAACAGCATTTCGTGTAGCCAACACTTGTCATGAACCTCGCCCGAGCGTCCCTGCGAAAACACCCTTCTCCTCGAGCAGCGGGGCGTGGGCCAATACAACTCTGATCCCGCACGGACAAGCGATCACGGCCTACGTGGGTACGAGACTGTAATCCACACCAAAGGGTTCTGAGGTATCGATCTCACCATGGCTTGGTCGATCTTCTTTTGGAATCCCGACTCTCGCTTGTCTCTGACTCTCTGCATCAGGATTGATCGTCGTCCTCTGAACATGTGGAGACATCGCGGAACCATGGGAGAAACGAAGCAGCGAGGGCAGAGCTTGGTAATGAAGATGGGTGCCTTCCAAAACATACCACGTTGTATTCTGAGGAATGGTTGGTCTTGCACGGTGAGAGCAGGGAAGTGAAAATGCTTGGCGTTTGGCGGTTGATCAATGTGTATTGAATATCTCTTACCCGTCAAGAGTTGCTTCTTCAAAGAACGCTGGCGATCGATACGGGGGACGTGAGTCTACTCGGCGTCCAAGTACACATTAGTGGGTCGGACAGAAACATTCTGCTTTCACAAGGTCGTTGGAGGCCGTAGACGACTGAGCCAGCATATTTATTGTTGTGCAGGGCATACATACGCGTGAGTCATGCACAGCCACAAACCACAACACCAAGCAATGGCGCCACCGGTATCGCCGTACAACTGAAGTACGGGAAAATGTACGGAACTTCTGCAATCGCTCCTATTCTGAACCACCTTCATGTCTTGGGGTCGTAGAAGTATTCTATAATAGAGCAGTTGTACTACATTTTGGGTTAGCCTTTGTCCACGGAAATTATTATCCGTTCCCTCATGAGCACCGAGGCTTTTTTCGGAGGTCAGAATGTTCCGTCATGAACACAAACAACACAGCAGGAGCAACTGCGGGTGTCGCGTTCTCTTGCTTGAGAGGGTGTTTCAATTACGTGACGAGTTCATACAACTGCGCTGTAGCTGCTCTCAGTCCCCTACGGCAGAGTCGATTTAAGTGTTCTGGGAGCACTCTCGTTGAAGCGAAAATGAACCAACACGTCGAACTGCAGTTGGCGAAAACGCACCAGGGAATACTTCGTGGGCATCGCTACGCAAGTCTTGTTGCGAACATCAAAAGCACGCTGCGCCCCCCGCCAGGGAGGACACTTTTAGACTTGTACAATGAGTCGAGGTGACGTCTTACCTCCCCGATCTTGGAGTCCTTCTCGCCGATCTTGGAGACATCCACAGTGAAGGATCCGTCGGCGTGGACATTTTTCGATAACCCACTTGCGAGTCCTCTGAAGAATCGCTTTCCTACAAGCCGTAAGATAGCGAACCCGATTTCGAACACACCAGGGGAGAGAGGGAAGGAGGGCACCCCGAAAATGCACAATGTGACTAGGGCGGTTTGATGCTCTTTTCGGTTGCTCTTCCGATGTACCCAACACCGCAAACGCAGACGGCAGCTGAACTCTGTGCGGACCATCACCCAGACCACAGTGCGGTACGTTGCGGTAATAGCATAGTTCTTCGACAGTTTTACAGGACACGTGCCGTGATCGGGATTCTGGAACGCCTCCCTATTTTCTGCAATTTTGATGGCGCTCCCCGCCTCTTCTGCCCCGACCCGAAACCAGACTAAACCTCGACCGTCTGTTGCCAACGTACATCACACCTCTTCGGCTAATTCGCTGTCACCGAGCTCGCCCCTGATCTCATCCTCTAGCTCGTGTTCAAGGTGCCGCACTCTGGCACACATCCGTGCATGCACGTCAGGCAACGGCAGTAAACGTTCTGAAATGGGTTGTGTGTATTATGGTGTATGTTCACGTCAAGCTACCCTTACATGCTGGAGAGTATGCTCGCGTAATTTATTGAGATTCAAATGAAGCGCCAGTCGCGACGGGGGGGCGTTCATACCATACTGTCTTGACTGCAGACCCATGACGTTTAATGATGGGAGAGCTCAAGCACACTTGCCGTTAGCAGATTCTGTGCAACAAAAGGTGAAGGTTTTTGGACCAGGAGAACACAACAAATATACAAATCTTGTGGAGGCAGCACCAAAAAGATATGACCGATTGCGCGGCAGAAAATCACTGCTAGTCAGCGTCACCATACCTTTCATCAACGAGCTTTGTGGAATTGTCCAGTCGCGTTTTCCAGTCAGAAGTGTCTTCATACAGCTTGTCTATTTTTCCGTGAAGCTCTTCCTGGGCACCAGTGGTCCGAGTACGAAGCAGCAACACGAGACGTTCGGCGTGAGACGATGTTTTCGCAGCGTGCATGGTGGGCCAATGCGCTGTTGCTGTACGACTCAGTTGCCCCATACATCGGGGGAATCCGAGCAATCATCATAAAGGTCCAGAAAACTGTTCTTTGAACAATTTTCATCTCCAAATACTTCGGCGCCCCCTATAGCCGACCACGTTCTCCTACGGTAGGTATGTCTTGGGGCTGCCCCCCCCCTCCACCCCCCCTCTCCTCGCTGGCCAAGTGTGGAATGGTGAAATAGTCCGAAGATGCCAAAGTGCACCTGCAAGCGATTTGACAACTCTGCAATTAGGCGACGAAGCTCGGTCTCCGTCGTCCGTAGCCGGCCCTCGTGCAAGTCGTTGAGCGCTTCGAACTCCGACCTGACAGGTCTATCCTCCAGGGCAAGCTTGATTCGCTCTCGCTCCATTTTCGCGACCTCCACCTTTCCACGGTTCCATGACAGGTATGGCGGTAATGGTGGTAGTGGCAAGTGGCTTTGTCATATCTTGTCTTATATGTTCTCACGGCCGCTTTTGCAAAGCGGCTGGCTGAGAGGTCCACCACGTTAAATCGATTTTCGCTGATGGTCGACAGTATATAGTATGAGTCAGTTGACAAGAGAGTGAAGTAGGATGTGTTGCTTTGTCGGCAGCGCGGGCGAGAAAGTTGCCTAGAGCGGGACCATGAAGGACTCGAACAACAACGCGTGCCAAACTGTTCCGTACCCCGCTCATGGATCATCCGTAGGAACTCAGGCTTTGGACAGAGATTTCCAAGTGCGGGACATGAGACACAACAATACTCTGGTAGTGCTCGGCGATTCCGGCTAATGGAGACGGGACACGTCATTTCGTGGGGATCTTTTACCTTTGCGGTGTTTTGAGCCGCAGTACGAGAGGCGTCCTCTAGCTCCCCTCTTCTCTCCGCGTCGATCGCCTCCATACGGTCTTCCATCCACTTTACCGCATCCCATAACGCTTCCACTTGGGGGTGTATCGTGTTTTTCAAAGACTCGGTCGATGCTTCGGCCACAGCCTTCATCACAGCTTTTTCTGCTCTCAAGGCTTCGTTTGATGCATCCCCAATTTCCCCCCTCGGATGTTGAGCTACTACGCAGTCTTCCGCTTTCAGGGGCTCTTCGACTTTTATCGAAACTTTGGGAAAGGAACGGATTGACCCTTCCTGCTCGGGTGGTGAAGGTTCCTTTTTTGTTTCTTGAGGTCCTTCTTGTTCTTCTGCGGGTCCACGCTTGGCTTCTGAAGGTTCTTGTTGTGCAGCCGCGGCGGCTAGGGTTGGACTAGTCGCGTGGAGAGGAGATTCGCCTTGCAGCATAGCGCCGGGTTTTTGGCGAATTTGAAGTTCGGTGAAGAGCGGTTGGCAGTATTGCGGTGGGTGGGGAGGTCAGAAAGGATGAGTCACAGAAGCGATGGTGAAGCTTGCTGCAGCGGCCCCTACTACTTCTTGTAAAATGTGATTGAGAGGTGTTCAAATCTTGTTACGTGATATGATTAACTCAGGCTTCACATTGGAGGATGTGTCAAAGCTGAGACGGGCAGGCGATGCTTAAAAACGGTAGTTTTGGTGTGCCTTGCGCCAACCCCCTCCGGCTGGTAGTTTCCGTACCTTGATTAAAATCAACAAGACCGGCCTTCTCAAGTTGAAAGACTGGCTTCCGTGCGGAAGGTGGCGGCTCTCCTGTGACCCCGGGTAGTACTACAGTGGCGGTGAGTTCGGACGAAGCTGGAGATGGTGATCTTGGAGGCCTAGGAGACGACACTGTTGGTCGTACGGGAGAAGGAGGAGCGGTGTTTCTCGGGGAAGAGGTCATCACCACCTGCCAAGGTCAAACGGCACAAGGACAACGTTAGGTTTGCGCTTTTGGCAGCATGCACAAAAGCAGTACAACACTATTTAAAGGATTAGAGATCGATTTCGCAGGTCTTTCGATCGTGTTTGTCGAACAAAACTTCAAAGTAAGTGTACGCTAGACCGGTAGAGCTAAGACCCTAAAGGTCGGTTGTATATTTTGTGGTTATAACGTGCGGCATCCAAGGTACACGTTGTATGACGTGCATGTACGGGCAACTGTTGCAGACAGCAAATCCGTTTCCAACCGTGTTCATTTACCCATTCTTCCGTCTCTCGTGCTTGTAGCAAAGCTGCGCTACAGGTAAAGTTCAGTATAAAACAAGCGTGACTCTTCTATGCCGTCGTCTTGTGCTTGCCAACTGCCATTGCGCGCTTTCTTTGCGATGAGATGCTCTTGGAGTCTCGCAATACATCCACAGGAATATGGCAACAAGGCCCAACCTTGTGAGCGGCCTCTGCAGCTGACTCAGCAACCCTTTCGAAGGACGCCTCCAGGGCAGTCAGTCTCCTTTGGAAACCTGACAGCAGCACATCGAGTCGAGAGGTGTCGATACGGATCTCCGGCAACAATCCGATCGGTTGAAGAGAGTACGCCGACGCGGGCAAAGCTTCCTCCATCGTAGCGTGTAGTTGCCGTTCTTGCAATTATTGATGGACCCGGCAGGTGATTCCGAGAGCTATCGCAAGATCGCATACCCTAGACGTTGCAGTTAGATATCCCACGGGGGGGGTGAAAGGTGGCACGTCCGTGAGGTTGTAAGCGTCATGTAGAAGTATGATTCGGATTTGGATGGGATCATCATGTTTCATGTTAGCACAGCTGGTTGATGAGCACCGAAACCGCAAAATAGAACCAGTTTTCGCGGCGTTTGGGCCGTTTGGGTGTGCAGAACGCAGAACCACCGGGAGGTTTCCGACCCCCCCCCCCTGCCCCGTTCGCCTTCCGCGTCGCTCCCCCACGCGTGCACGACGGGCGCAGCAGTCGCCTACTTTGCTTGTCGTCACACGTCCACGATCACTGAACAAAACGTTTCCAACCCTCGTTGGACTACCTCACAATTGGCCCTGTCTTCGGGTTTTCCACAAACTGCTGGTACTGTGAGAAGGAGAGGCAGGACAGAGCGCCAAGCAGGGCTTCTTGTTAGCACTCCAGACTACTGTTCCGGCGTCTTCGTTTGAAATACCACAGCTGGCAGCAGCGAGGCCATGGTGAGTTGAATGTTGCGGTAGTTTGGTAGAGAAGTGCGGCGAGATTCGAGCTCAAGGTTGCAAACTGCTGCTGTAGGTACTGCTATAGCTTCTAGCAGGTAGCTCTATTCCAGTAGATAGCAGGCTAATTGGTATGTACCCCGTTTTGTGTTGGGCGAATCCACCGGTGTCGCTTTATCATTCTTCAACGCTGCTGCAAACCCACTAGGGGAGAAGGGAGAAGCCGTACTTGTAGCACCAGCCAACCCGAATATCTCGGACTTGATACCGTGCTCCCAGCGGTCTCTGTGCAGGTGCACGCACAGCATCTCGCCGTCGCCACGCTCGACATGGACCACCCACCTGGATAGCAACACCTGTGTGCTTTGGTTGTCCTTGATAATGTTTGCGCAGTATCGTGCAAACGGAGTTAGCGCCTTGCAGTATATGCGGGACAGCACAATCACCGTATTTGTACCGGCCACCTGTATTGGTACGTATGCAGTGCCGATCACTTTTGCAGCCTGCGTGGCATTGGTTGACTTGGTTATGCTTCATGACCGCAAAATCAAGCACGAGTGTTATGCGCTGTCAAGACATCCGTCCATACAAGAAGAGAGCGTAACGGCACAAGTTTCGATTTTCTCGCCTTGTGTTGTGTCTCGATTTTGCAGCAAGCCCTATTTGGGTTCAACCCGGGAGTGACGATCCTGGTGGAGTTCGACCACATCGACAAGAGGCCGACTAAGCCCTCCACGCCGGGCGATAGACGAGCCTCGGAGGCGCTGCCCATTTTCGAGGGCTCTGAGGTAGGCAGCCTTTCGCGATTGTGCGCTTCGTAATGCAACGTTTGCAGCGACGTGGCTGTACGCAGCGATAACCTCGATATCCTTCCATGTTGCCCCCTGAATTGTAGCGGTTTACATAGTCCAATATCAAGGCTCTGACGTTGTGTGCACACCACATTACCGACGAAACCTGAGCCCATCAACAGACGACATTTAACGTAGGGGACCGGATATCCCCGACCCATGAGTCTGAAATGTTCTGAGGGCGTACTGTGTACACTCTTCAACCTATTACTCTCAAACCCTTTTTTTTTATCACCCCATTTGTTAACCATGTGACACGGAAACGTCTCCATGTTCAGGCGGTTAGCGGCACTGCGACGGTTCTCGTAGCGCCGGGGAAGAAGGTGGACCACCTGGGGATCAAGGCTGAGCTCATCGGCCAGATAGGCAAGGAGTGGCTTGGCGAACGGAAGTGGAGATACAGGAAGAGATCGGGGGGGCCGTCGATGCCGAAGGGTCTCAGCAAGGACCACCTTGTCTCTTCAGTTGCTACGATTGCGAAGCTGATATTTGAGACAGTGCTTCCCTTCTTGCAGCGGGAGTCGGACTCCTACTGTAGAATATGATATTGTCCATGAGCACAGCCGGTCGTCGGAATCACGGGTTGTTTTCAACCACCAACCCCCCGGTTGGCTCTTCCACTTGCTGAACTCCACCCCGAATTCCGCCGATGGGCTTGCTTGCACACCTCGCCTGCCTTTTGGTATTGCAGAGCTGTACTATGACCGCGGCAACCACTACGAGTTTTCCTCGGTCGTGCGGGAGCTGGACACCGCGGGGGCGCTGGTCGGAAACCGAGTGAGTACACCCCTTGTCCTCCGCTAAACAAACCAATCGCGACATTGAAATATACCGGGCATGAGCACCGATCGGTCGCCCCCGCTCCTCCCGACAAGCACTGGCTTGATTTTGAACCATCGATCAAGCTATGAGCACCGCCACACCTCACTCCAACCTTCTGTGAAACCACTAGCGTATTTAGTTTTCGACACGCATTTTGCGAACTAAATAGAACAGCATACAGGCCGTAATTATCGTGTGCGATATGCAATATTTTGCATCGCCATCCCCTATCATCCACGTGTTGATTGAGGCACGACTCGTGTCATTTATCTGTCTCCATCTCCGCCTGTATCTGCCTCTGTCTGTATGCCGCTGTCTCTCCGCCCTGGCAGCAATATCGCTTCGATTTCAACTTGGCCGAGAAGCCGTACGAGTCGTACAGCGGCCTGAACGTAAGACTTCGGTACTTCGTGCGAGTCACCATCTCCACGCGAGGGAAGAACGTCACGAAAGAAATGGACTTCGTTGTGCAGAACATCCAACAGGTATTTTGGCGGTGCGGGCACATTCTCACGTTCTGGATGTACTTTCGATTCTCAAGTGGACTCGGCGATGGCTACCACCGTGCAAGGGTGTGCAACGTGTCGTACTGTACGTCTCCTCCACTCCCTCGGCTGCTCATCGTGTTCAGTTCCGCTTTGTCCTCTCACAACACGTGCCGTGTGTTCGTGCGGTTTCCCAAAAAAAACTGACATGGTTGGTGTGAAACATCTCGGCGCCTCCAGGAGCCTGAGGCGTTGGATTCGCTCAAGATGGAAGTGGGTATCGAGGACTGCCTTCATATCGAGTTCGAGTACGACAAGTCGGCCTACCACCTGCAAGACGTGGTCATTGGCAAGGTGCGGTGTGCGTCGGACGAGGAGATCGAGGTCTTGGTGCCGGCAGTGACCCGGAATCAGGAATCTTGTCGAGCGCGTGTCTCACCCCCGTGAGGGAGCGTCGTATTCGTGAGCGCACCATCGTCCCACACAACCACGCCATGCTAAAAACGAAGGACAGCCAGATTTACCCCAGGAATTCACGAGATTTACACCGAACAGTAAGATGGCACACAATATATCCTGTGACGCTAACGAGAAGATGCTTTTTTGTCCACGAAATGCGCCCGAACCCCGCAGATCTACTTCTTGCTTGTGCGCATCAAGATCAAGCATATGGAGATGGCGATCATCAGAAGAGAGACGGCAGGGACGGGATCCAACCAGTACAACGAGAGTGAGACCATCATCAAGTACGAGGTCATGGACGGGGCCCCCGCCAAAGGTAAGGAAAATTAATCCGCAAGAGGAGTCTCACGGCAACTCTTTCCCTCCGCTGCCCCCCCCCATGCCGTTGTACTGTCCGACCCGTAGACCATTTAGCCATTCATTTTTGGTCGACAATTGGTGGCTCTCGCCAGTTGTTGCCAAGCCAGTTGTTGCCAAGATATCAAACTACTTGCGCGCTTGCCCCCTCCAGCCTTCGCATGCAGTGTTGCTGAGTACACCAAAGGTAATCGTTGCCGTAAATACGGCTGTTGCCAGGCAGATCCAACTTTGAAATGGTACCAACTCGAACTGATTTCTTCGTGTGAAAATCCCTCCGGCAGGGGAGTGCGTGCCACTGCGAGTGTTCCTGAAGCCATATGCGCTGACGCCGACCTACCGAGGGACCAATAAGTTCACGGTGAAGTACTTCCTTAACCTCGTGCTGGTGGACGAGGAGGACCGCAGGTGAGTCAGCAACACATGTGTCCACTTGAAGGTGAATTGGAATAGTTTTATGGCCTCGTTGTGTCCGAGATACACAACCCATACCACCACACGTTGCATCATGCCGCTCAACCTCCTGAGCTCCTCAACCCCGGTATCGCCTATGTTGCAGGTATTTCAAACAGCAGGAGGTTACCCTGTGGCGCAAGTACGTGGCGTGATCCTGCCACACAGCTAGGGGCGGCGTTGGAGCGCAACGGTGTTGATGGGCTTCCGAGTAAGACCCCAGCATTCTGCAATGGTTCGGTGCGCACAAGATGTTGTGGCAGAGCGATTTTTCTGCATGTTGATGTATGCATGTGTTCGACAACGACTTCCGGTGTTGAATATTCCTGGTTGTGAATCTTAAGCTAGAAGAGAGACACGGCTCCAGCGTTTCAGCGTTTTGCAACTTTGCCTTTTTCTTCTTTTCGTGGCCATTGTAGGGTATTTTGGTTGCACGGCTTGGGCGGGGTTTGGTGTTGCAACGTCCGCGTCCAATTCTAAACGCTGGCGCCCAGCAGAATCGTAGCTTACCATCTGCCGGCAGGCGGAGGGATACGCACAAGGACGGCAGTCCCCTTCGTGATCGTGTACTTCGAAGCACGTAATGTGCATAAGGTTGAGGCAGAGGGGAACGAGACGACACTAGATTCAGTTCTGTAAACTCGATCTTGTTCACCTCTTTAAGCATATTAGTTTTCCGGGTCTCCATGGATAGGCCAGTCCGCAAAATTCGTTTTATCTTTTGGGGAGCGGACAGCCAAACATGGTTGAGTGTTCTTCGGTTGGACGACGGGATTTGTATTTTTTAGGTTCCGCAGATAAACAGGCCACCACATTTTATAACAACCGCGGTGCGCTTGTGACAAACTTCGAAGTTCCCAGCTTTTTTTCTTGTCTTTGACACTTCAGCACTATGGCGACTGACTGCGCTCTGGGCAGGCCTTGCTCGTGGAAAACTTGAGAGCAGGTATTTCGTGAGCACGGTGAAAGGAGAAAATCATCCCAATAGCCAACTGTACACAGTCAAGCCGGGCGGGCGACCCATGAAAATTTCCCTCGTAGGTCGACGTCTCTCGGTCACAATCCTTTGACTTCATCTGCCTGCACCCGTCGATACAACGCGACGACTGGGAGTAGGTTGGCTGTGGCTTCATTCCATCGAAATATTTCGTAGCCTCATGAAGAAGCTCTTTTGAAACAGTTTAGTCTAAATTCTATATATGGACCGCGTTCAGCCGATCGGTGTAAAATTCGGGTGTACACTACAACGGAGCGGAGGCTCAAAACCGTCTTCGTGGACCGCAGAGATCGAGAACGAAAGTACCCTGTGCAGACTTCGTCAGGAATGAAGATCCAGCTGAAACGTCAAACGATAAGCCCTCCTCAGGCCTCCGCCGAAAGCCCTCTACAGGAGTGCACTTTCTTCGACACGAGCAATAGCCTACTAACATCAAACCAAATGAAAGAAGTTGATGAGAGGAGAGCCAGGTCACCACTTGTCGCCGCCCTCCCTGTCAACCTCTTTGCCGCCGTCACGGTCATGGAAAGTCTGTTCCCATCCCTTCTCGGGCCAGCCTTGCCGCCCCTCTCCCGGCCAACCTTCTTGAGGTGAATGTTGACCAGGATTTTCCGTGGTCCCAGCTGATGCCTCTTGCTGTGCCTTCGCTTGCCCGGCGTTTTTTCGAGCGATGAATGCCATGAGCGCCTCTCTTTGAGGCCTGCAGTCGGCGGTACCCTGTTGACACAGAACAGGCGGGAACGGCGGCGGCGAGTGTTGGTGTGAGAGCAGTCGCGACGGGAGGCATACTAACAACACGGGGGTGAATTGATAGTACGTTGGCGGACTGAGGCAGCAACACGGCGGTATGCACTCTACCCTTTGCATGCTTGAGGCCTAAGAGGCACGCGGCGGCTGGGTTTGGCCCAGCAATCTTGGCGAGAATGAGGTTGATGTATCATGGCTTAAGCATTCGTTCGCGCTTACAGTCACAGTGTCCCGTATATATGCACAGCAGTCCACAAGAGGAAATTCCCACAGAGGTCAATGGACCCACCCGAAACGTTTGACATGGTGTCGGCAAAATAAACGTGCGTGGCAGCGCGACCACTCGCCAATGCATTAACGTCCGACTTACCTCCTTGAAGTCGGCCGCCGTTCCTGCGACCGCCGCCAGTGTCACCGGCCAATAGCTCTTCTTGTGGACGCTTAGCGGGAGGCCCAGCAACACTCCAGCTGCGCAATACTGAACATAATCGGAAAACACACGAAGTAGGACGAGATACAGATGTGTCCACCACTGCATCGTAACAACACATGGTAGCGTATTGCAGAAGTATGAACGCAACACATGTCGATCTAAGTATCATGCGCGTGGCGGAACACGGGTCCATGGCAACTGGGTTGAAGGTACACAAGAGATGTTGACAACCTTGTAGTGTGAAAGCATACAGCTTGACAGTTCCGCAGCCAGCTCTGCCTCCTCCTTGGATTGCTCTCGCATTGTTGCACCACTCGAGCCTGCACTCGGCACAGCCACCACCCACCGCCGTGTGGTGATGCGAGCTGCTGCGAGCCGCCGAGCGGAGAAACCCGGAGGGGCACTACAGATGGCAGCTTGCTGGGTTTGCAGTCATCAGCTGAGGGCGTTTGGGTTCTCCCGCCATTAGAGTGACTCTTGAGCTCGCCAGAGACGAGGCAGCAGGCAGCAGAGAGGGCTAGACAGCTCGAGGACGAGGATTACTGTTGCTGTGGATAATCCCCAGCAGATGGGTCAGGAGAACTGCAATGATCTAGAACATTGAATTGTTCCCCTCGAACGTCTTCCTGCTCAAGGGTGCCAACCGTTTACAGCAGCGCTGTGAGGATATTTGTTTGAGATCCAGTTTTCAAAAACCAACACATAGGGTTGCATAGGGGGCATGTTCCAATCGGCGTATCAGGATGGTGACTGCGTAGAAGTGTTCTCGCCAGCAGGAAAGAATCCCGCTGCGGATTGGAAGCTTAGCGGGAAGGTCGTTCGCATGTACGAGAAAGGAGTGAAAGGGTGAGTAACCCAGTCATATGGACCGCTGGTACTGCTGTACGCTACGATGTTGCTGTAGTTGCAATACCGCTGTCTGTTGCGAAAAGACAAATGTCCGAAAGAGCACTCTGTAACCAGCACTCTGTAACCAAGATGTTTGCGGAAGATATATATGTTGGGCTGGCAGGCAAAACTAAGGGAAAATAAATACACGCACAGAAAGACTACCCATTCGAGATATACCCACAGTCGAACGGGATGTGGTGGAGTTAAAATTGATCGTATTACATAGTGCCAGTCGTTGATGCCAACCCGGAGGAACCACGAGTAGTCTAGACGATTAGTCTCTTGTAGGGTCGGCACCGCTTGCCGTCGTCATCGTAATCGTTCTGCCCGTTATCCAGCTGCTGTAGACGAACAGGTAGGTGTAGGAAGCTATGTACGTGTAGGACTGCCCGTAGCGGCGCTACTGATGTTGTACTTTACGTGATATATGCATACCTGTTATTGCTTTTTCCTTGCATACATACAAGTCTAGTGGGAGGTCGCTGCTGTCGCGTGTTGGCCCATACGGACAATGCAATTGGCGCCCAAGGAGCTCGAGCTTGGTTGATGTCCGTTTCAAACTATGCAAGACAATGTCGCTTGGGCAGCAGGACGTAAAAACACCGTGGTGAAAGCCTAGACTACCAGTATTTGATTGGTCTCGCCGCATTCGAGTTAGACAACTTGTTGCTTGGGACGCTCCGAAAGTAGGAAAATAGCAACTTGTTGCTTTCACCCCGAGCTGACCACTTCTCTACTGTACTCTCTACTGTACACGGCAAACTGCCAAGCCTTGCGACATATTGACCTGGGAACTGATGGAATGCTACGTCCGAACAGTGCCCGTTCTCTCAACAGTTGTGCGTGAAAGCGGGGCAGTAGGGATGGGAAGAAGGCACACCGCACGATTGTGGACGTGGTGCATATTGGCTTTGACGAAAGAGACACGAGATGGTTGACATCAGCCCACCAATATTCTGCAGGGACATGACCGGCGACTGAGTCTGTCTCGGAATTAGAATATTGTCTGAAAAATTACGTGGTCTATTCACTTTGGCTGGCATCGACTGCTTCACTACCGCAGACGCCCGCACCCCGACCCTTGACGCCTCACACTCGTCCCTGACATAACCACGGATATGTGCCTTCGTGCAGCTATGTTCTGGCAGTGAGCGGAGGCGCGACGTCAAAGATGCAGTTACCGAAGGCGCCTAAGAGTCTACGTGAGTACAGCCCCTGTTCACCAACTGACAAAGGGCGGGGTCGCCCTGCTTGCGACCCCGTTCAGCCGGATCTGTCGAAAAGTCTCCATGGTGTGATGCCTCACCACTCACTGTACTAAAGCCCACCGAGCTCTCGCCACGAGACAAAAGAAAATTAGCCATCTCGTACGAAGACAACAGTGAAAGGGTGCGTTTCCCTCTGCTACTGCTGCAGTTGCAAACGCATCAATGAGCTGAAACAATTACATCGCTGCCCCCGCCTTGGCCACGTTTCGGTCTAGTGGGCCTACGGCAGCGGCATCTAGTGCTGCAGGTGCTCACATCGACGTCCCACGATAAGCCGTTTTCTTTGGAGCTCGGGTTGACGGATACTGGCGGCACGCGGCGGCGGTTGGTACTGTCCTCGTCGTTCCGCGCGCTGCACTGCACGCCTCTGCATGCTCAGGTTGGTGGTGCACATTTTCGGAGACGCAGTTGAATTACTCCGCGTAGACCTTATTTGTTATCGGGAGCGCCACCATCGTGTGGCACAGCCGTTTGCGAGAAGTGAAAGCACATGTTCGTGTGCCACCGCTGCGTACGATACTGGGCTACGTTTGTGCGCCTGCCAACGTCTCGTCCGTTCCATGAATTTCTTTTTGTTCGGTCATCATCATAACATGTACCAGATCCCTCTCGTTGGATTGGAGCGTCACCGGGGGTCTTGGGCGAACTTGACCATTGACCTGGTGGGGTTGACGGCGGTTTGTTTCAAGGCAGACGATTTCCGCACCCTGGACCTCCTCGCGATCGGGCCGACGTGCCGGCTCCGCAAGGTTTTTACGATGAAGGAAGCGCTTGACGATTCGTCAGGGGCTGGCGGAGAAGACGACCATAGAGAACTTATTTCCGCTGGCGCTTCAGGTGTGAGGATAGGGCAAGAGGAACGTTGTCGCGACGAAATCACAATCACAAGCCACATTGATATCGCCGAGCGGTCCGCGGCATGAAACTTTAACTTTCCGTTTAGTCACCCGCTCGCGCATACCCTACGCAACGCCCATACCTGGCTGGGTGTGTGGGGCGGGTGGGATGGTGACTCGATCGCACGGACCCGGACACGGTTTTGGTGTTATTTGCTCGGTCCACGTCAACAAGGCTGGATGATTCCGTTGGCAACCTCGTAAAACCTATTGGCTCTAGGGTGGTGGGTTCCATTCTCTCCGGAGTTGATGAGAAAACTCTCAATTTAGAAGTGAATAGAGCAGAGCGTCTCGAGTACACACGAAGAAGAGAGAAGGGGCTGCTGGACCATTCTCGAGTCAAAACTGAAGGCAAGGGCCGCAGGAGGAAAGGTAGAGAACGAAGGAATCTTGTTATTGTCTTCCTCCTGTGTGACTCCGGCTGATGAATTAACCTGATACGAAAGGACTGGCGCCCAGAATACATGAGCCGAAACACGCACGTGCACACTTTGCCCACAACGGCTCCGGGAGAAGTGATCGCCGCGGTTAGGTCGCTCTAATCTTCCCACGTGAGGACAAGACCAAAGAGATTCTGAAACTACACTGCCAATGGTCCTTCTCTCCTCTCCCCCTGGTGTATCCGGGCTTTCTCTGGTCGCTGTGCGTTGTTGTCGGCCGACGCAGGTCAGAACAATAGCGTAGGGTGTAAATCCGCTCCCGTGGCACCGATGCCGCTTCGCATGGCGTTTCCGGCAGGGGTGGTCCCTGCCCCGCAGAATTGGGTGAGCACATCACGTGGACCGAGCCAAAGCAGTGATGCGAAGCGACACGTAATGATATGCGGTTCACAGAGTTTTTCGCCGACATTTGCATGCAACAATTAATACTAGTGGTAGAAGGATAACGTGCGGATCGTTGCCTGTACAATATAGAATGTAGATCGCACCTTGCGGTCAGAAAAGAGGGCTGTATCGTACAAGACAATCACCGCTTTTCCTCCGGCAGAATCTCCAGCCTACCACCCCGCTCCCTCCACCCACGTATATTCACAGGTTATCTCCGTGTCCACCCTGCGGCGCCTAGAGAGTCGGGATGCTCCGCCGCCAAGTCCATCCAAACGAAATTCATTGGTGGCCACTTCTTCGGCAAAGGGCAGAAAAAATCGTCCTACGTCCTCTCTGCAGGAGTCGTCGTTTAAAGGCGGCCCGCTATCCGTATCGCCGGCCATGACATCACCATGTATACCAGAAGAGGCGCGGAGTTTTCGTCCTAGCAGGGGCGGGGCGACAGGTATTTGGGCTGAATTACGGGTAGCTGGCACAGATAGGAGGGTAGGGATTTCATTTGCACATCGTGTTACGCATGTCATGTTGCGTCCGCAAAGTTGGATTTATGTAGGTTTCGCAGCCTTCCGTTTGCCGTTGCGGATACTAGGGAGTCCCTGTTTGTGAGCGCTTGTCTTGCGCATGCTCGTGTATCAGCACCATCTCGTTCGCAGAATACTGAGCTACTGCCCACATCTCCACCTGGATTGGGCTGAGTCGACTCTGCTTCCATCCCGCCTAGATCGAGTTCTTTCCACCGTGCAATTTTACTTTCTTTTTCGCAGAGAGAGGGACACCATCACCTCGCCTCCTCGAAATCGTGGCCGGCAAGCCTTCGTCGAGTTCTAGCAGCAGTGCTTCCCCCACCGGCACCCTCCAGCAGCAGCGTTCGATTTCTTCGAGGGGGTCACGCAATTCGTCTTCCCGTCCCATCGCTACTTCGTCTCCCTTGGCGACGTCCGCGAGGAGAAGGAGCTCCGGCACCATTGTCACTTGCAGCAACTCGCGCACGCCATTGTCCACCTCCAGCACGCCAAGGCTGCCGACTCCCGATAAGGGTAGCGTCAGGGGTGGTTCTTCTGCACGATCGGTTGGCAGGAGAGATGGAGTGACGGTGACGAGGGCGATCGGGGGAAGCTCTACAACCTTAGGGAACCCCGGCACGGTTGATGTCACCTCGGTCTGTCGGACGCCATCTCGAGCAGCAACGGCAGAGGCAATGACACCGAGCTGTACACCAAGGCGTACAACAAGCTCAATGGCGGGCGGTGGCGTTGTTGCTGATGTCGACGAAAATACGCGCGATGAGCCGAAAGGTACGGGCAGGAAGGGAGGCGACCTGTTGCCGGCGCGGCTACGGGCGTCCAAAGCATCCTTGTCCAGCGGCAGGACACGCAAGGTGGACCACACAGAGGTCGCGGAGGACGGCGGCGACAGTGGAGCAGGAGGTGAAGGTGGTGGCCGAATAGCTCGGGAGCCACCAGCGGAATGGCGGGTGGCTGGCAACTGGAATGGGCGGCAAGAAAAGCCGGCGCCGGCATGGAGGTGAGGCAATGTGCGCTTCACGTCTTCGGCGCGCATGCAACGGGCGCTTGGTGCAACTGTGGTCAGCGCGGCCGAAAGTAGGAGCGGTGGGGGACACGACGTGATTCGTTTCTGCGTCATGATCGGTGGAGACCATTCTTTTGAAGGAGTACAATTGTGTGACGCGGGCGCGTTGCATCTCTTGATGGGGAAGGGCACCCTTGTGTAGAGGGGACGCCACTCTCTTCATGGATTGCTCACGCCGATCGCTCCGATGGAAAGAAAAAGCATGTTGTGATGCGATGCCGTGCCGTGTGTGTTTGCGTTTTATTTGAGGATATTAGCTGCATTGAGAGCAACAGGGCAGAGAGTCGAAGTTTTCTCCCTGATATTCTCGAAGCGCTTGAATGTTATGTCGACCAACCTCACCAAATCTGTTTTCCCAGACCCTCTTCCACCCCGTCCGTCTGACACTCTCTTCCCTATCTCGCGTGCGACAGCTTGTTCGACGACTCGTCCCCTGACGATGGTTTTCGAGCTGTGACGCCGGAAGCAAAACACGCCTACTCCATACAGGCTGAGGATGTCCTACCGGTATCAATCACGACGCGTTGCGGCACTAGCGGCAGCCACGCTACCGCATCGATCGCTGATCACGAAAATTCTGGTGCAGCTTCCGAGCTTGCAAACCAAGGACTTGGAGGTGGCGTGCGGGTGATTGCAGGCGCCCCTTCGTCTTCTCCACAGCCGTCACCCGAAGTTCCGGCCAACATCGATGTCAGCTGGCTGGAAAGACACAAAAGGGAGGACGGTGGAGCAGTCGCTGCAACCTCAATGGAGGCGCGCGATAACAGATCTGCATCATCACGCTTCCGCCCGTGGTCCTCCGCGGCCATCAACGTCTCGGCAGCTACAGCCGAACCCCTCCCCGGCGCCTTCGATCCACCCAACACCTCTTTTGCCGCTGATGCGGTCGTCAAGCACATCGAAGACGGTGACAAGAAAACGAGGTCGGCGACAAGAGCGAGCCTATTCGCTTCTCCGCTCTCCCCTCGGGAAGAAACGGGTGCGATTGCTCGCCGTTCCCCGCTCTCTGCGGGCGACGCAAGTCGTCGCGGCAAGATGCAAAGGTCGCCGATGTCTGCCCGGGTTGACGTGCTGCAGAATCTCCTCGCGCCGGGGGCGATGAGCGGGGAAGAACTAAGGCCACAAAACGACAGCGGAAAGGAACGCGGCAAGACTCAGGTTTCGAGAACGGAGACGGAGGCTCTTCCGGACGGCAAAGGCGGTGGTGGCGACAACGGCAGTGGGGTTGCCGGCGATGCCGATGCGCTCGAACGTTTGTTGGTGCGCAGTACCATCAACGTCGACACCGGGAGCAGCGTCCGTGGCGACAACGGTAGCCCCATCACCAGCTGTGCGAGCAGCTCATTCGACGCCATCGCGAGACCCGCAAACTGTGGTCCCGATGCTTGCGTTATCAGTTCAAGCAGAGACGACCACCGGGATGAGGGCGGTACCGATCGCCACCGAACGATCGCAACAAAAGAAGTCAGTGCAGTCCCGACACAAGTTGCGCGCACACACACTGATGTGCGTACTGACCTGTCCGCCTTGGACGGTGGACGTTTTCCTGGGGGACAAGCGAATTCCCTGAGCCTCGCCGAAGAGAGCGGGGCAACGGTGGAAACAAGTCGCAAGGGCATTCGCAGGGGTAATATCGGTGAAAGCGATGACCGCGAGGAGATCGAAGGGTTTTCTTCCACGTACGGAGAAGGTGCCAAGGGGGTGTTGGAGTCCTCCTTCTTCCGTGCGACGAGCAGGGAGCGGGGGCATGGAGAAAATACAGAAACGCCGAAGGCCGTGGACCGGTCGGACCTTGAGGAGTTGGAGGTGAGAAATCGTATGGACTTCACTACACAGCCCTGCTGCTGTGGCTGACCTCTAGGTGGTGGTGCGAACATCTGAGTGTGCCTGTGTGCCACCTCGTGGTTTAAGTTCGAAGCGAAGACATGGTATGTGCGCGTCTTCTGGTAGTGAAACAGGCAAGGTCTGCTGCCTGAACAGTCTGGACAAGCGCGATAAAATTGTAAAGGTGCTTTCCTCATGCGTCATGTGTTTCCATGCAGCCCTCGCCTATCTCTTGGGATAGCACCGGTCGCCCCGGTGATCTAGTTGGCAAGCTTGACAACGTTGTAGCGGCTCGGTATGGAGTTCGAAACTCGACAAGGTGTTTTCGTGTTTCGTACCTAGGTATAATATTGGCACTGCAGAGAGCGCTCACTCCTGCGTGAATACACTCCGAGGGAGAGCAGTGCAGAGGCGAGCGCCCTGTGTCGACCCAAATCGGCGCTCTTTCGTGAGGGAGGTGACCGACAACCAATCAATGGGACCACGAAAAGACGAAATCGAGCCAAGTAATTTCTATGGCGTTACGTATCCGCCTACGGCGCTGACCTACGCCGAGCCATCGGACTCTCCTTTGTTCATCTGTCCACATGCGTTCTTTCGGCAGAGGAAGGAAAGCGCTCTTCTCGATCTGGAGGAGTCATATCACACCGAGTTCGGGTCGGTCGACCTAAGGTACCGTTCACCCCTCGGAGGATTTTGCGTGTTCTATGCTTGCGGTATTGTGGTTCTCTCTCTGCATTTGTGCTTTGAAGCAAGAAAAAACGCGTGGGTATCCTACACAAAACTTGCTCACCTGGGGTATCTTGCGGGCATCATCCCGTCTTAGGATGCAAATTACCGGGTGCAGCAGACACTAGAGACTGCTCGAAGCTCGACGTGTTCTCTCTCCACAGCACTACGTTCCGAAAGGATCACGAAAAATGACTGGCGCTCCGTCTTAAAAGAGGCACCTTGTCAAGCTGATGAACTGAAGGCATGCGATTTATGAGCAAACCTATCATACTAGCTTGCCCTCCGATGCACCTCCTCCACCCGCTTCCTGTCGCCGTTCCGCTCAGCCAATCTCCGGAGAAGCATGCTTTCTTCGCCGGGGACTGTTCGCCTGATCGAACCTCGGCACCTGCAGAGAACATGGAGGCCGAAGTCCATGGTGGACCCGATGAGAGTATTGCTTCTTCGCTTGCACGGTCAATCGAGACAAGCTCCCGACAGCGGGCGAGCGAAATCGACGGTGGCCATGACGATGACGATGACGATGACGATGATGTTGATTCGGTCGTGTTAGGTTCTCGAGGATCGACTTCGTCACCAGCACCGAGAGAGGAACAAGACAGAGAGAAAACGAGGAGCCAGCAGGGTGGGGGGCGGGGGAAAGACAACGAACTGTACTTCGACCCGGTGCTAAATTGCTACTATGATAGGACCGCGGACAAGTACTACGAGCTGCATTAGTAACAACCTCGAAGGCTGGAAATTCTTGGGAGTAAATGGGAACATATACGTTGGATATTGTTCTTATTTAAAGAAGCAGCCTTGAAAACTCTTAGGTTGTTCGAGGCTCCGGTTGTTTTCTTTGGTGGGGAAACCAACGGTGACGTTTAAGTTATTCTGGGCGGTGGGATTCTGATATCAACACAAACAAAGTGGACGTCGGTTTCCGAATCACCAATGTGTTACGCGGGGGTCGAGTCTGTACGCATGTTCGTTGAGTGCTCTTCATAACCTATTTGCTCACCCCCGTGGTGTAAACGTGTCCTCGAATCCGTTGGATGGTGAAGGTCGTGGTGGTTTCGAACAATGGCGAGTTTAGAAAGCGCCTGTTTGCGAGTTGACAACATCGACTGTATCGTTGAAGGATATCAGGTCGGTAAATCATGTTCGAGTGAGGTGCGCACCTCAGAGGAACTCTGCTGCTGCTGTGGGGCCCCATACCTCGGTTCCTGCGCAGGGAAGGCAGGATCGTACAGCAGGTCGATTCTGTCGTTGCACACCGCCGGGCACTAGCTTGCTAAGACCCACCGTATGATGTATATTTTTCTCGAACACAGCAGCAGAGGGGGGATTCTCAGCATAGATCGGGGAGTGCAGAGCGGTAGCACCAGGCGAAAAGGTATGAAAAGAGGTTTCGCGACGCGTGGAAAAAATAGAAAACTTTGAGTCTAGAAGCTGAACTTTGGCCTCTGTGTGTGCGTGCATGGATGTCAGGTCTGCAGATCCGTTCTTCGGGATTAATTCATTCGACTATTTTAGAGTCGTGTTCGAATCCCATATCAGAGGGCCCAAATGGACCAAATCCTTTTCTCCCTTTTCTATCCATCCATATTTCCCGGAGAATATCATCCTTTCGGTGAATACAAGAAGCGGTTGCCATCCCATGGCCTAGTGGTGGTCTAGTGGTCAACCTGCACAACGCCCTAGCGGCGGCAGGTGGTTCGTTTCTCTCTGTGGAGGGTTTTATGTCCCGCAGGATTTTTTTCCAGCAGTCTTTTGTCAAGAGCATCCTAATCATTGGTAGTAGGTTGTGAGTATACTACATACTCCGAGTACACACGACGGTGTCACTGTCGATGAGAGAGATGGATGTAACTTGCGAGCACCGGCATTATAGCTGAATGTAATTCGTTTTGAGTGTTGGTTGAACGAAGTATTTTTTTGCTACAACGAAGTATTTCGTACTCCGGTAGTACATGGTCTTCTTGTTCTTTTCATCCCATCTTCTGTATTATAAGCTGAGGATTCAAGCAATCAATGCGGTACTGCTGAGAAGAGGTTGTTGCACCACCTGCTGGATATTATTTCTATTTCGTTCGTTTGCAGGGACTTTGCTGTCGCATGTCGTGGACGTATTTGCTGCACACACTCTCTGTCCCGAACACAACTGAGCGGGGGATCTCAGCGCACACACCACACAGGATGATCCGAGCAGCAGGTGTTCGGGGGGTGCAGAGTGGAGAGCAGCCACCACGTGATCTTAGGCGTTTTGATCTGGCCGTAGTCAATGAACCTTCCATGGCTGGACTTCATCACACCCACCCTCGAGTCCGGTCTCGGCTGGCGGCACTGAACCTTACAGATCTGACAATTTGATGACATTTTTTGCTAAATATTGTAGACTACATGTAATCCGTCCATCCCCGTATCTAGCCATTCTGTGACGTCAAGTAAGTATGTTTGAAAAACCACTCCTTCATCCATTCATTTCTGTTCCCAATAACATGGGTACAAAACACTTATCTCGCAACTTCGTTATCATGTTCCTCCCAGGGACGGAACGTTCCCCTACCAAAACTATACTGCTGTAGCCCACTAAGGTCTCGGACAACAGTCGGTGTTTGTGATGGAACGCTCACAGAAGGGACGGCGTGGTCTCATGTTTACTTACCGCGGCCGCTACCGATGCAGCAACTCCAGCAATTTACTTTGTTTTACTCTGTAGAAGAAGTGTCGTGCCTTCGTTGCCGTTGCCGATGATCCGAGCACAAAAGACGCTCGTTCGTCGGCCGCGCGTAATACATCACCATCATCATCACATCACGTATTGCATGATCCCAAACAAGCGACAATCTTCTAAAATGTCAAATGCCCAGGAGCCAGGGGGAACGAATATGGCAAGGGCGGGAATAACATTTCTCGAAATGAGTCACACGCTGTGTCCCTACCCACCCGTGATATTGCTGGCAATTCTGCGCGGCGAAGCTGGGTCCGGGGCATGATGATGTGCGAACCAACGGAGTGTACCTGAAAAAATGTTGTGAGAGCGGGACCTCTCCTGGCGTGTGTCCGCTGCTCGCTGCTGTCCTCTATATAAACACACCGTCAGTCCTTCAGAGTAGCCGGAAAGCCCGGTACCCTCGATAGTTCAGTCAGTTGGTAACGCGATAGACCTGAGTCTTCTACAGTAGAGCGTGGGTTGTTATCTCTCCAGAGTTGCAGTAGAAATGGATGATTCTTCACTTTCAGTGTAGTACTGTGGAGCAAGTGCCAACTCGTGAGAACCCTTGAACATTAAAAAAATTGGCTCGGCTCGCTCGCCCATTCCTTGGGGCGAACCAACTTTGGTGCAGCACAATAATTGACAAGTACTTGTCGGAGACGACCCTGTGACGGATATGTTGTGGTGAAGAAGCTGTCCTGGCGAGGTACTGAAGTACTAATACAGAGGGTCTACATGGTGGACGCCCGGCTAGGTGGCGATGCCGGGAGGGTTGTATCAGCAGAGCTGTGGATCGTCAACCGCAATCAATTGCGCTTTTTGGCGAAGCTGTGCAAAGTTCAACGAACGGCATTCGTACGTTGCGTTCGTTGTTGTTGGTTGTTGGATGATGCGACCGACCGGTAAATTAGCTCATGGTTTCCCGCTGAGGTCGATCGAACGGACCCACTCTTATCTTCTGGGTGATCTTTTCTCAGCCATGGTGAGGCCATTTCACACCCACGCCTTTGGACTTGTGATGCTATGGACTCGCTTGCCGTAGGGGTTGTTACAAGGCGCTATGCGTTCTCTCCACTGATGCACGTTGATTACATATCCTGACGCGCGGGACTGTTGTGATTTCCACGGAACCCCCTGCGTACAAAACCAATACTTGATTCTGCCATCCGGTGCGCCCCTCCCACTGGCTGACACTTTGTGTGCACCACCACAAAAGGCCTTGTTGCTGCCTCTACATACCACTCGATATCACAGAGTCCCTCAACCCACAGGGAACAGCACGAGTAGCTGTGGCAAGGCAACCTACCCGGCCCTTGGTTGTTTCCCGGGTGGAACCTGACGGGCAGCACGCCGCCGATCTACGTAGCACCCCGAACGTACGATCGAGGAGGCACCGCCTAACTAAGCTAAGCCAAGGAGGACTCTTGCAAGCGAGGCAAAAGGGAGAGCTAGCTCCTCGTCCAGACCATGTCGTCGAGAAGGAGGAAGATGTCGGAGGACGAGGGGAGCAGCGAGGAAGAAGACGACGAGGTGATTTCCGACCAAGAGGATGCAGACGTCGTCTCTGAGGCCGCGGGCGCGGCGCCTTCTGACACCGAGGAGGAGGGTGATGGAGCGCCGGCCGCCGCCGCACTGGCCCAAGCCGGGTCCACTGCCGCTGGAACTGAGATCGGCGACGAGAAAGGAGCAACCCCTGTGGGCGGGGAGGAGGGAGACCCCGAGGTACGTGTGGCGTTGCCCAGGCAGTGCACAAGAACACTGCTATTTTTTTGTGCAAGGTATGTATCCGCCAACCGTTGCTATGGACCTCTTTCTCCCGACCGCCGTGCTGCCCGTATCTTCTTGTTGCGAACAAATTGCCGATCATCATCCCACGCGAAGTAAACTGTGGTGGGTGCACACCTGCGTCTAGGCGTCTTCTGTTATGGTGGTCTTGTGCTGCGGCTTCGAGAACAAGAAAATCAAACGGGCAGTCTTCGATTATGTAGAGCATCATGTAACGCACTACAACGCGCCTCAGCAGTGAGCCACCGCCTTTTCGGTACAACAAGTCGGGTTATTCAAATATCTTCTAGAAAAGGTGAATACATACATATAATAAAAACACACACAGAAAGACTACCCATTCGAGATATACCCACAGTCGAACGGGGTGTACTCTAGTCTGCCGTTCAGAATAGTGAGGTTGCGGCAGTTCGCTAGCAGCTGACCTGCAGCTGGCAATGTATTGCACTTGACAACAAGGCAGTTTTTTGAGTTTGCCTTACGCTTGTCGTGGGGTGCACTAGGACAAATGAATCAAGAGAAAACGTGCTTCTATTATAATAGCGGAACAATATGCTTCGTCCTGCGTGCAGCAGTGCGCGCCTTGTAGAATGTCCGGCTCGTTGCGCGCCTAGAATATCCGGCTCAATGTTAATGTTTACAGAAACCGTATATTTTTTCGTTGCATACGGTCAGTCACTTGCTGCATTTTTGGCGTGCCTCGTCGATTTTTCAATTCTCTCATGCACCCCTACGGTGTTCTACTCGGATCAGGCCACGGCAGCCAGGACGGGATGGGGCGAGCCGGAAGAGACAGGGTCAGTGGCGGGTGAAGGTGAGGGGAAGAGAGAGAGAGAGAGAGAGAGAGAGAGAGAGAAAACGGCTCATCAGACTCTTAAACAACGGGAGTTCTTGTCCAGTGTGATCATCGCGTCTCGAGCTGAAGTGTGCAGTCCACCCGCAGCCTACAACATCGGCACTAACACCACAACAACAATCGTGCAAATGCAGACCAGGAGGGAGACGAGGCCGAAGGGAGCGGCGCGGGTTTGGGGGGCTCCGCCGACGGAAAGGATGGGTCCGAAGGAGGCGGTGGGGGTTGGGGGGGGGGTTCGGCCGACGGCGAGGATACCGAGGAAGAGACCGAGGAGGAAAGGGAAGCACGGATGGCGGAGTACGCGGCGGCGAAGGCGGAGGAAGACGCGATTAAGCAGGTGGGCGCTGCTGCACTCTCACGAAGGAAGTAGGCTGACCGGTTCCCTGGCGCCACGGAGGGGTGGGTGTTGTCTTGTGGCCGGCAACCCTCGGCTACCGAACGGTCCTGCTGGCCTTGTTCTGGATGGCTTTGCCACTTGGAACTTCTGGTACAGTTTTTTTTTTCTTCTTCTTTCGCCCTACGGTCGTTTGGTCGGGCACCGTTTGCGGCCTGGTCGATTCTACACACCGCTCGTCTCTAAGTATTGTTTTTAATCTTGGCGTTCAGGTCTCGTTTATCGATGCGTGTTGATGGCTTTAGGTTGCATCAGGAGACATTCAGGCGTCGCTTGCTGCCGCAACGAACGTTACTACAGGATTTTTGGCAAACCCGGGCGTACACGTCTTCGTTGCAGTGTTTCCCGGCGCACCTAGCCGCAAGCGAGCGACCATTGCCTGCAGCCTCCCAACCCCCGCCTTTGCATAGCCGCCGTTTTGTCCAGTCTCTCACGAACGAATCGAATCGAACGTGGATTCTCGGACGTCTCGCAGGAGCGCAGGGCTATCCGCGAGAACCCCGCCGTGATCCCCAAGCTAGGCGCCTTCTTCGTGCACGACGACAGGGGAGGGGGCGGCGGCGGCGGCGGCGGCGGCGGATCCGTCGGCATGGCACGTGCCGGCAAGCAGCAGCAGCAGCAGCGGCGGGACGGAGAGGAGGGGTCCGGCGAGGAGGAGGAGGAGGAGGAGGGGGTGGGGCGGTGGCGTGCGGACGCTCTGCCTTCCCCGAAGAAGAACAAGGGCGGTGGCGTGGAGCGGCGGTGAGTGCGCGAGGAAGGTTGAGGTTGCATGGGCTGTGTGTATGTGTGTGTGTGTTAATAATTAGCGTCGACCGCGCTAACCGGCTGACCAATGAAAAGACGTCAGTCTTAGTGCGGTTGTGTGTGTGCGTTGATTTAGCATCGTGCCGCACTAAAACCGGCTGATCAATTGCTAAGACGCCAGTCTCAGTGTGGCTAAGAACATGGGTGCTTCTAAGTAGTGGTCATGCTTGTGTATTCTTTCGTTGTCATCGTCACGCCTGTCGAACGAGACTAGGTCGAACAGATATTAGGGGGCTAAAAAAATGGCAAACAACACCTTCTCGTCCGAGGGACAGGAGCAGACTAGCCGGGAAGTGTGTGTGTGTATAGTACTAATGTTTTGAGCGACGTTGGTGCTGTCGCTTATGCTAATACAATAGTCGTGGTGATGCCACTCGTGCAGGAACCTAAGCCCGTGGTAGCGATTTTGCTCTGATGCTCATTGTTGATGGGGATAGCAGACTAATAGGTCATCCTCGCGTACACTGTGTTGTTTTCGTTGCTGCTTTTGTGGGTTTCTCCCCCGGTGCTCTCTGCTGTTGGTCGGCTTATTTTTTATTTTTCGGAGAGCCTTGTATTTTTATATTGTGAGGAGTCTTGCCCAGCATCCTTGTTCGGGATGATGTACCGTCTTCTGTGCACATGCGCCCCGAGGCGTGGATGGTTCTGTGTGCTCATACGTCTATGCACCTATTCTGTCACGAACATTTGTAACGGAAACTACCCGTTTTTTTTTGCTCGTTTGTTTAGAAATTGTTTCACCCACACTTGCGATATTTTTGGGACCTGTCCCGCATCTTTTCGGATTTTTTTTTCATGGCACGCATTTCACAGATCTCCGAAACTTGC